TGAATCACATATATGTTAAAGATTACGGGAAGTTGTTAAAAATAGCAAGGTAGCGATTGCAAAATGATATAATTTCGTTTAAAATTTACAGTAAAATAATGACTCCCTGAAAGCTTTTAATAAATTGCTTACAGATCAATTTGTGATTTCGATAGAATCCCACTCTAGAATTAAGAATGACTGGAAATGGCATTTTAAATCGTCAATGGTACTAATACACGTCTAATTGTTCTGTACAAAAATTGCAATTCAATTAATAAACATTGGTTTTCCGTAAATGGTAGTTCCAATAGAACACACCACGTTTTATGCTAATAATGATTTCGTCCAGTCATTCGATTTGGTTTAAGACAAAAAAATTCAATTTGTCGGAATCAAGGCATTGACACTTCGCTGACACTCTTAGTGTATGTATTGTTAACCTGGAATGATCGGGATGTCATATTGACGAACTAATAAAGCAGAATTGAGGGTCAATAAATAAAAGACGTCACATCCACACGTCCTCAGAACAAATGAATTCAAGCATCATTGAAATATTTTACTTATTTCGTGCATAAAATTCCCTTGACGAAGCATCAGCACAAAAATATTTTTGTAGGTGTGAAAAACAATCGAGGTATTCAGAACATCACTTTATTGATTAGTTTGCGAATATACGCCTTCAACTTAAAAACAAAACATTCGTAAATCACGGAATAATTGCATTCTCTGTCTATTTTATATACGCTAGCTTTACGCTACATCAAATGGCGCTTATTTTCTTTCCTCTTTGTTTTCATTCCTCATAGTTCGCATAAAGTATGCTCATGCTGTGCTTTTTTTTGCCATTATTAAGTAATTTTTACTATTGCGTTATGTAAGGTACTTCCATATCGAATTCTTAAGTTTTCCTCGTGCATGTACTTATGAAGCTGTTAGATTAATTGTGGTTCGAACTGTTTTTGCGGTTCCTATATTGCTAATTGAACTTAATTGGGTTTAGATGCTCATTTTTTAGAGAATCAGGAACTGAATTGAGGATTAATAGATGGGAATGTGCTTTTGTATGAATTTCCTTATGCATTGTTAATTTGACTTGATTATTACTTCGATGCATTGATCCTTTTGGATATTTTATGATTTTACAACCTTGAAACTAGATCTAGGATCTGGTATTATGCTTTAAAATTGATTGTAACTAGCTATACATTACGATAGCCCCAATAAAAAGCTCAACGAGTTAATAATGCACGATTTTACAGCATTAAGACGTACCAAAAAGATTCACAAATTAATAAAGCAATAAAGCAAGTAAAAACCATCAACCAGACACTGAATCGTGCCATAAAAGTCTATGCTTCTTGCAATATTTTACATGACGCCACAAACTTGATTAAAAATTCAGCATCACTTTAAATAATTTTTTACATCTATTTCTTCAAATGTCCATATATCCATGGAAACTGCTTTAATTTGACCGAGAAAAATATTATGAGTCTATATACTCAGCTATAGCTGTACGTTACACCCACAAAAATTGAAAAGCATTGAGAAAAATCACTAAAATTATTCATTAATATACCGTAAAGGTTTGAAATTAGCATTTGTGGATTCCGTGACATTGCCTTTCAAATTCCATTACTTTGTGTCCACTTGAATGTTCTTACAAACAACAGAGCTGTGCGTACAATTGTTGTGTGTACTTGATTGAGATTTAAATTGATGTTGAAGCAATTGCCTGCCTGCACCAACTCGATTGAATTGACAAAGTTTGTGTATCAATAGACCTTGTTTTTCACTTAAAACTGTGACTAAAACATGAGTTGAACGACATTTTTATGCGACACAAAATAAGAATTTTTTGGAGCTACCAAAATTGGTCATTTGTATTTGTTATACAAAGAGCCTCGACTTTGTTCAGAATGAAATCTAAAATGATTGTTGGTTTAGGAAATATTTTAAATATTTTTGACATCCACGCAATTTAATGTCGTTGTTGTTATTATTGCTGATTTCAGGGTTGGTAGATTGAAATTGTTTGGAAAATGCTTTTTATTGAAACTGAGAATTTTTTGTGAGATTCTCTTGCAATTGTCTTGTAAGTTTAAGACAGTGATTCTTTAACTATACTCGATGATGCATTAATTGGCCGCAAAAGCATTCAGAAGTATCTCGAATAAAATTTACATTTGATTAATAGTTAAGAAAAGAAAAGACTGACTTGAAACTAGGGTTTGTGGAAAACAGCTGTTTTTGAAAAACAGTCTGTTTTCGGTTTTTGATTTTTAAAAACAGCTGTTTTCCTGTTTTTCTAGAATTCAAAATAAACTGAGTTATCCTAAGTGTTTCTCTAAGATAATGAAACTTTTTGGTGGTTATAAGCAGTTAAGCATACATTTTAGAGCTAAACATTATTATTTCTTAATTTTTTTTTGTTAATTAACTCTAAAAAAATCCAAAAAAATTTATACTTTTAAGTAACATTGCATTGTTGTATTGTAAAAGTTCAAATAATATTTTATTTGAAATATTCAAAAAATCTTTCTGAATAAAAAAATATCTTGTAAAATTGTTTATTATATTTTTGAACTTTAGTAAATGCTACAAAAGGTTCAACAAATTTAAAATTTAGATTGCAAAATTAATAATGATTAACCATAAATTTGATAATGATATCAAACCTATTAAACATCCAAAAAATATTAAAATAGTAAATACATTTCAATTTGGAATGCTAGAAAAATATATTAAGTTCTTCAAAAAACTAAGAAATTTTTTTTTCTGTAAATTATATGTAAAAATGAAAAACAGAAAACAGATCTGTTTTTGAGACCTGTTTTCTGTTAACAAATTTTTGTCGAAAAACAGCTGTTTTTCTGTTTTCTCTTAGGGGCCATTCACTTATTACGTAACGCTTTTAGGGGGAGGGGGGGTCTAAGATTTTGTTACGATTCAAACAAGGAAATTTTTTTTTTCATACAAATTTTGTTACGAGGGGGGGGGTCTGAGAAGTCATTTTTTCGCGTTACGTAATAAGTGAACAGCCCCTTAACAGGTTCCCCAAACCCTACTTGAAACCTAAATTCGATCCAAATTCAGGACTTGTTCAGGGACGAAGCATAGGTTGTGCACTCCTTCCAAGTCATTTTAATTGATGCTTATGATTAAAGTATCAGCTGATTCTTTAAAACCTCCTGTATCTGTTTAAAAATCTGAAAATATCAAAACAGATGTAAGCTTTGTGTAAAAGCTAGCCGTCAAAAATGGAAGATGAGATCTTAGACATTAAGTAATGCATTAATAGATTAAACACGATCTTAAAAGAAGCGTAATTGAACCGAAATCAAGCAAAAACATGACATGACATCAACAGCACATATTACATTTTCTATATTATCCAAAACCCGATCAGACCTTCCCAAAAATTTCTCTAAATCCACACAATATGATTTCAGTTATATCTACAAAAAAAATTTCTTTTAATCTCATCAAAAGCCATTAAATGAGCTTAGATAACAGACATTGCAATAATCGAATTTATAGGCTAAATTTGGCAAAAGATCAGATAAAAGAGTCGATGAGTTGACTAAAATGCTTGTTGAATTAGGAATTAAATGATACCCATGTATTAAAGTATGAAATATTTTGTGCATACATCCATTAGATTCCATGACATTTGCAACATTTCCTCTATCTTTAACTTTACTTTTTTTAAGTAGCAGCGATGAAATAATACTATAATTAATGATTTTATGTTACCTTATCCAAATTGGTATCTCTTCATCTCTGTCATATTCAATATTCCTCATTCGTACTCCCAGCAGCGATGAATTGAATATGAATGGTAATTGTTATATAAATGTAAACTAGAGCTAATATATTGAGCTTATTGTTACGTTGCATGCGTCGGTAAAAAAATGTAGTATCAAGGTAAATAGTAATCTATAATAGCTAGTTATTTGGTCGTCTCAATTGCTATGACATGACAAATGCAAGGAAGAAAATCAATTTTGAAAATCAACAAGTACCAGCCAATTTCAACAATTCACTGCTATTCAGACATGGGGTCGTTCATAAATGACGTCTACTAGAAAATATTGAATTCTTATTTCTTATATTGAATTCTTATTGTATTAAATTGTAACAAAAAATCCTCATATTTAAATGATAGACGTCATTAATGATTAATCCCACTGCCACAAGAATTCTTTATTTCGTGGATTATTATGTAAACTACTTTGGGCGAATTCATTCGTAATTATGGGGGCGTTGTAATTTCTGTCTCGAGTCATAACTCTCGGTCTGAATTTGATTGATATTCTGTGTCTGTTTACAAGAGAATAATGACGTTATTTAATTGCGAGTCAATAAGGCATGATCATTAGAAAATTGTTGCTTTTTGTGTGGTTTTTAGATGAATTGTGGGCTTGAAAAGTTGCAAACAAGGCACGAGTCTGAAAAGAACACAAACTTGAACTTGATTTCGAAGGAAGAAAGAAGAGATTAGTTCCTTGGAACTGCTTTATTTTAAATTAAAGACGAAGGTTCAAGATCACGATGTTGTAACTTATTTTTTATGGATATACAAAAATCGTGTTTTATGTTACACATATCTCATTTAAAGGCACTGCACATGCGAATGCTTTTAAGTACTCGAAATGGATGTTTCAAATAAAAGACTAAACCAAGATCACGCATTACATTATTTGATGCTGCTCAGGCACGCACAAGCCATTTTCATGTAGATATTTGATTAAATGCGACCATTTTCCATTATGGAAGTCGTTTATTCAGCATTTTATGCTTCTCTCAATGGTTATTGACAATTTTATGGTACATTATCGACAATATAACCTCAAAATTGAAGATAAATCCTCAAAAGTATCTGAATATACACAAAAAGTCTTGAACTCATTTAATACTTCCTGCTTAATCTTCAAAACAGCTCAAAACTATCCAAATAACCTCAAAACTATCAACATAACCTCAAAAAATCTATAAATTCTTCCTCATTCCAGATCATTCACTTCTCCAATGCAAATTTTGGAACTCCAGAAAGTAGTCAGTATCACATCCAAACAGATGAAGGTCCTGAACGGTTCTTCAAGTATCAAACTGACAATGGACAGTTTAGAAAGGAGCGACGTCTTCAAGATGGAACTGTGATTGGAACAAATGCATGGATTGATGGATTTGGATATTTGAGGATGAATGACTACATAGCTGATCATGCTGGGTATAGAATCATGAGTGCCAAGACAGTTTTTGTCGGAAAAGATCGTCATATTGAGGTAAGGAACTTAAAATTCAATAAATGTCAAATTAAGGAACCAATTTAATAAACAGGAAGCGATGAAAATGGCTAAGGATGCTCCAAAATCATCAGGAGTTCTGGTTTCAAGCACGAGAATTCCAACTACGCGTTATGTTCCAACAACCACATCCAGACCAGTAACAACAGCCATTCCATACTCAACACCAGGTCATTATCATAACAAGGTTCCAACAGTTGACATTCGTCCACATTCACAACCAAGAGAGAATTATCCTTCATATACAAATTTTAATGACCTTAATCATAATGTTTTGGCGTATCCAACAAATGACTTATCCCATGTGCAAAAGCCATCAATTTATTATGAACTCCCGCTTGAAGATGGACCAAAACTACATGAAAGCTCATTGCCTACAATCATTGTGGTGCCAACATCAACTCCAGCATCAATCGAAAATCAGTCTCATTTACCTCCCATTGTGATCCATCCATCATCATCGTCGTCAGTTAATGATGTTAATAATGTGAAAGATGAGTCTCATTTACCACCACTGGCTTATTATCCAACATCAACTGTTAAGCCTGATATTAAAGATGAATCTCATCTTCCGCCAATTGCATATTATCCATCATCGACTGAACGTCCTTTGGATTATAATAATGTGATTCCACTATCGAGTACACCATCAAGTCTCACAAATGAACTTTTACCGCCAAGAAATGGAGATGACTCCTATGACGTAGTAATTCCAATTACATCCCGTCCAAGAAATCGTTATCGTCCATCCTCATATCGCCATGAATCGTCAACAGAACGAACCATTGTCGATTATGATCGAAATGTTATTGATGCTGCGGCATCATACGTCTCGCCAACATACCAAAATAATCCAAATAATGTTCCTTTGTTTGACAGAAGTAAATATCAGCAGCAACAGAAATCTCCATATTATGATGGCGTTGGTGTAACAGCTAACGGCTTCCGTTATTTCTTACCACGACAATATCAAGAAGAAACGGAAAACAAAGGAGAAGATAGTCGCGATGGAAGTTATGGATATATTGATCCATTTGGTATACGTCGAGTAGTTTATTATAATGCTGGTAAAAATGGATTTATTACACGAAAAAACAATCGATATGTTGGCTTCAATGCGACGCCATACGATCCACGACCAAATTAACACACAATTATTAATTGAACAATATGCGGTCGATGGAAGAAATGCACCTTATAAAATTCATAACATCGTCTTCAGTATTGTGAGAGACGTAAAAAAACCCTATTGTGATTAATTTATTGAAAGACATAAGTAATTAAGTTAAGCTAATTAAATTAACTCATCTCCTTATTTTCATCATTGCATTACTTTTCCTCTTATTGAGTATTAAAAGCATGAATCTCGTACTGTCCTGAATTGGCATTGAAAAACCTCCTACACGTTAAGTAATATACAGACACAGTAAATTATATTAAGTAATTAATTCACAGCTTTAATTTATGGAAAGACATGGTTGGGGATCGTTCATTAGTGATGTTTTTTTTATGAAATTGGATTTTGAAGCAAATCCTCTTTCTTATTTGCTCTCATATTTAAACAGTTTATGTGAATCTCCTTGTTTGATGTTTATAAATCTTTGGTTGATTAATTGTCAGTTATATACCATCCCCTCGCCTGCCGGTTGTTAGCTTCGCTCCTTACTAAAATGATCCTATGGCTTAGAAATTGATAAATCATATTTTGATCATTTTTGATTAATTTTGAACAGTTAAACGCTATTGGGGAGAGGAATCAAAATCACAATTCTAAGGTTACATAACAGTTGAACGAACCCCAGCCTCCTGTCTCCACTTGAATCATAAATTAAGAATAAAAAAAAATTCAACATCGCAACAAAATAAAAAGTATGTAATTTTATGCTCCAGAGATTCCTTCTGATAAGATGGCCATACATGAAATTAATATTTATCATTCCTTACATTTTATCCACCAATTAAAATGAATAATCACTTGCCATATGAATGAAAGACTGTATGAATGCGCATATATGTGTGTGACTGGGTGTCATAAATCTATCATTACCATTTTTACTTTTATTATTTTTTTAAAAAAAAAGAATTATGTAAGTGACTTAGACATGGAAAAATTTCTTTTTAATCTCTCAGTGCTGACTAGTTTTGAAACTTGGCAAAAATGTACTTCCGATTTTGAAGAAATTTTTTTTTACCGAGTCATTCACAATAAAACAAACTTCTTTGCTAATAGATATTTCATTGAAACTTTATGGTCAATAATTGATGAAGCAGGGGTTGTCAAACTGATTGTTTGGATGTGGAACTGACTGGTTGTTTAGATTAGTTCAGCATCATTTTAAATGCACAATTTAACAGTTTTGGACCAAATTTAAAATTTTTAAAATTTTAACGTCTTGAACATTTTGAATTTTTCAAATCTCTGTAGTTTAGCACCCCTGATTTTAACATAGTTGATTACCCCTTATGATTTTCTAAAACAGCAAAAATCGCGAATTGCGAATATGATTAAAATCCTCAATCAAATCCAACTCTCAACATAAAGTTTGATCACCTCTGCACATCAGCAGATATGGAAACACAACATATATCCAATTGAGGAAAGACAAAACAATTCACACAGCATAAAATGCATACAAAAAGCAATAAACAACTAGTTTTAAATGTTTTATTATTCCATATCTTCATAAATCCATCAACTTGAGCATATATGATCGAGTTAATGAATCATGAATCAATGAGTTTCCGTTATAAAGAAGACAAACTTAATTATATCATACCCTACTGCCTTTACATCATTCCTATTGTATGGTTGGACTGTGCGAATGACTGTCATTAATTTTTAATTTAACACACACACAAAAAAAAGTAATTTTATACTTAATTGTCGACATTTAGAGGAAAACAAAAATTATTAAGGAACTAAGAATGTAAAAGAAAAGGAAAAATGACATGTAAAGCCATAACGAAAGAATAAAGGTTCTTGTAAAAGAAGATTTTTGTGTTTTATTTCGTCTTGTTCTTAAGTTAAGATATTTGGTTTCAGCTGGCGCCTTCTGAAAAATCAGATCTGATCTGAGCTGGGTTTTGGTTCAGATTCTGTAGTAGTCAGTCTTGCAGATTGTAAATAAACATTGCGATGGATTTAGACATCAAGTTTGATCAAGAAACTCATAATTTCTTAGAATTCAGATAAATCAAGCAAATATGTATGCCAAGATACCTAGAACCAAACAGCAATCTCTTGACAATCATTTTCTGTAGAATGCAAATGACTGCAAAGTCGTTACTGCTTAGTTCTAAGTCTAAGATTTATATAGTCACCGTTTAGATACCATTTTAATGTATGCTATCTAGATATACACTTTAATCAACGAAGAGCTAGACATATTCTTGGTAATTCAAAGAATATCAAGCTCAGATCTAGATCTTTATGAATTAGGGAAAAAACTTCATTCAAAAACCTTTAATTCCCACTTATTCATCATCAATTATGTCAGCAGTTAAATCACAACTTCCGAAAATCAATATTAAGGGCCAAAACCATGAAGAAATGGCAATATGAGTAGGAGAAGTTATGCATAATGCAAAATTCCAGTTCTTCCTGCTTACAATTTGCAATCAAGTTTATGTAAATACCCCAAAAATAATTTAACCTATAAAAACCACATGCTGACTGTCAATTGTTATCATTTTCAATTTGTGTGATCTATTAAGCATACAGCACTAGAAAAAAATGGTAAATTTTATCGGAAGCAATCAAAATTCAGGCATTAATTTTGTGAAATTTCAGAAATTATTCATCGTGTGTCTTATGGTTGTGAGCCATACATTGGCAGCACCTGGAACTCAAAAACGTGACATTGATATCTATACGTATCATCATTTACCTGCCATTCGTCAGGAAACAACGACTCAGTAAGTACTCTAAGGTTTGAAAATTCATAAATTTTTACTTATTCTAGAACTTAATTTACAGCTACTGTCCCGAGGAAGATATACTAGCAAAATTCGTCCCAGAACCACCACATATCCAAAGTTTCCCACTTCCTTCTCTTCCAAATCATATTGTTAAATATGACGTTCCTATTCCACTTCCTGTAGTTCCAGTTCATCACGATAACTTCCCACCGCCTCAATTTCATCATGAATTTATCCCACAACTACCAACGCGTCAAGAATATGTAGAACCAAATGAACCTGTTGTGCCCCATGACACTTATGGAGAACCCTTCCCAGAATATGGACTTCCAGGCATTAGACAGGAAACCCCACCTCCACCTCCTCCAGAGGAAACAACCTTACCCCCACCCCCACCAGAAACTTCAACTTTACCCCCACCCCCTCCAGAAGAAACTACAACATTCATCCCACCAACAGAACCCCCAACCACAACAACAACTCAGAAAACAAAATGGCAAAAAATAGTCGAGCTCAAGCATCATCTGAAGCAACATGTTAAGCAACATCTTATAGACAACATCAAGCTTCCAGAAATTCAATATCGCACACCAGCTTTTGTTGTCTCAAAAAAGGTTGAACTTCCATTCCTTAAAAACTGGTTCAATGGACAACAATAAATCCAAAAATTTAATTATGAGATTAGTGAGGCAGAGATAAAGGAACTGATTAAATGATATTAAGTAACTGGTAATGGGCGACAATTAACTGTAGGATTTCACTTTATTGTATCTATTAAGTACATGTAGGAAATGAATGAATAAAAAAATATTTTAAGTTTACAATAAAAGTTTTCATAACATGCTTACTATAAGCTAGCTAGCTGATTAATCACATAATTATTATGAATGACGAAAAAGTGTCTTCGTATTGTTTCATAGAAAGTCACATCAAGGTTTATCACTTGTTTAGGAATAGCTTCAATTACGTTTGATGAATTTTATAGTCACATCTGATTTGGGTCTGTTAATTAGTCTTGTTGATATGTCTAGTTCCTCACATCCTTTCCATTCAAGCTTATAGTCACGAAGAATCTTTAAGAACAATTTTTTGGGGTTATTTACAAATAAGATGGAGTAAAAAAGTTACAGTTTAGAAATTAAGGAACAAATAAGACAGAATGGACTTCCTATCCACGCTTCATCGCTTCAATCTAACATTAAAATATCAATAACAAAACTTACTCTTAACACAACAGTCAGAATAGCTTGTTCTGCAAGTCTCCTTGCAATACACGATCGCATGCCATGACCAAATGGAATGACTAAGTATGGATGAATGTTTGACTTTTGATGGTTTGTCTTTAGCCATCGTTCAGGTAAGAATGTTAGAGGATCTGAGAAATTTTCTTCTAAACGACAAGCAACAAAGTTTTGGGTGACAACTGTTGTCTGTTTTAAAGAAAAACCAATTACAGCTGTTCTTATTGAAATTCATAAACTAAACTTACATCTTTAGGCACAAGATATCCACCAAGTATAGTGTCATGATTCAAAATCCTTCCAACTCCAATAGAAACTGGATTCAACCTGAATGTCTCTTTTAATACAGCTCTTGTGTATGGAATTTCCGAGTTCATGACTTGTGTGGTGACTTTATCATCAAATGTTGGAAGTACTTTCATTGCCTCTTGATGTAATAAATTTTGGATACGCTCATTACGAGCAATGTGATACATAGCAAAGGAAGTTGAGAATGAAGTTGTATGGATGCCTCCAAGTAGCAGATCAGCACTCATACCAACAATATCCTTAACATTAATGTTTGGATTGTTAAGATACTGATCAAGTAAGGAATTGCCTTTATCTTTTTGGTAAGCCTTTTTCTGAATGAATTCAATGACAATTTTCTCTTTGTATTCTTGAGCCTTTCTTAATTTTTTGTATGTAGGCGTTTCAAAAAACCTCCATAGCTGAAGACCTTGATCAGTCGGAAGTACAGCATCATTTGAATTATCACTAGCTATTATTAATCTTGATGTCCGAGAATTTGGGTCTCTTTCCTCTTCTGCAAAACTGTTCATTCTTTGATCAAATGCAATCAGGCACGTCAGCTCTAAACTTAATCTTTCAAGCTCCGAAACAAAATCCTGAATTGTACAGTCGTTGTCAAAACGTGACGGAAGAACACTTATAAATTCTCGAACCATGTCATCAGTCTGGGGTAATAAATTGCGGACGTTTTGTGGAGATGATAAACCTTTTTGAAATTCAGATCGAAGCTTCCACCATTCTTGACCGTTGCTGAATATTTTTAAATAAATTGGAATTAAATTTAATTTTTTGGGAGATTTAAAATACAATCAGGAAGATTAAAAATTAATCCAATAGATTTAGAGTTGGATTAAAATAAACCCAAGGATTAAAACATGAAGTCACTTTATTCACGACAAAAGTATACATCTGATCACCATACTCACGTTGGTAAAATACCACCACTTCTATAAGTCTCTGGTCGATCCTGTCGATATTTTTGTAGTGCTAAATGACTTCGCCGGCATGGAAAGTTTCCAATTCCATCATTAAAGATTTGTGCGATATCATTTGGATCATAAAGCCACACAATAGAAAATCCAGGTACCATTCTTTCACACACTATTGATCCATACTTCCTATACTTATCCATTCCAGATTTATGAAGATCAAGCCAAGAATATTTTCCTGTAAATGCGACACATTTTAATTCATAAAACGTCACTAAAAGAAATGCTTCTTTAATTACCGAATGGCTTTGTATAGTTAAAAACATTTCCGAGTCCCAAAAAGCCTCTCGGGCCAGGCATCATATCCATTGACTTGATGTCATTTTTTACTAAAATTTCTGTCTGAAATTTTCGAGTGAAATTTTTAATTCTCCTTAGCATTTCTCGTGTCTAGCTTTATCGACCTAAAGTACACAACTGAGCATTCCAATACAAGTTATTTTTCTTTCTCTTCTTTTTCCTCATCTTCGTTCCTGAATATATTAAAGAATGTAAAAATATCAAAAATATTTTAAATTTACAAAAAACAGCTGAAAATGCTCGACAATCGAAATTGGAGATTATTTTGAATTCATACCAATAATAAATAGATAAATTTGGACAAATACGCATTTTTAAGGCACACGATTTCAGCGAAAAAAATTAAAAAAATAACCGTCAGAAAATATTTGAAACATTTAACTGTCACAAAATATTTGAAATTTACGTACGTAAGATCTAGTAAGATCGTTGATTACGTCACTTGGCTAGTTCCTTCAAATTTCCTGAAATATAACAACATGTGGACAACAAAAAACAAATGAGATTATAAATAATGAATGAGTTGGTAGCATGAAATTTTTATTCTTTTAAGGAATAAACAAATTGTGATTTTATTTACTTAAATTCAATTGGATGTTCACAATTACACATTCAATGACCGATTTTGATGGATTAAAAATGTCACTTTAATTCTTGAAACAGATTATCTTTACTTCTTTGCTGGCTTTTTAGTTGCGACCTTCTTTTTTGGTGCCTTCTTCTTTACTGCACCCTCTACTTTAGGTTTCTTTGCTGGCAATGGTTTAGTTCCTTTCACAGGCTTTCCAAAGAGCATACCACTCTTTGATGCTTGTTTCTTAAGCTTGTCAAAGACTGGTGCAATCATACGATTCTTTGATCTCTTAACATTTCGGATCTTGAAACGTTCGAAGTCTGTAAGATTTGAACGCAATCTCTTTGCCTTTGCACGTTCTGCCCAGAGTGTTTGGCTCCACTTTTCCTTAAATTTGTAATCTTCAAGTGCTTTCTTGACGATACGTGTTGGTGCTGTGAATGGAAATTTGACAACAAACTTTGTCAGATGCAAGTGACTGACTGGATATTGTTGACGGGGTACACGAGTTAATGGTCCATCGATGAGAACCTGCAATGAAGGAATATCATATTAGTATTTATGCCTGATTATGGGAATATATTGAATGTTTATGAATTGTCTCAGCATTTAATATAATTAATAGTTTTTGTCTGCATGTGTGTATCAGACGGCTCTTACTATAAGGGTTCATCATGATTGAGTCAATTTACTGCAATTTCAATTAGGTTTTTTAATACTTACTCTGTTTTGATCGATCACATCGACAATAGCAACAAGCTTGCCCTTATATCTGCCACGAGAAATTCGGGCGATGCGTCCAGTTTCAACGAATCTTGTAAAACCCTAAAATATAACCAAACTTTTAAGTAAACAAAATCATTTAACTTAATTTGCTTGTTTCTGCCTTATTTGACAGATTTTTCGAGTGACTTGCGGAATGGACATAATCTTTTAATTAAATTCACAGCAAACTGTTTATATTTTAAGGGAAAAACATGTGAAATAATTTTTTTCTCCTCGTGAAAATATTTCTTGCTATTTCCACAGAATTTTGAGCAGTTCCTGCATGAAATTTAGTGAAATTCCATTGTTCCATTAGTTATAAAGATGTCCTGATTATCCTTTCACATTTTAAATTCACGCAAATCACTCTAATTAATTTATTTTAAAAATTTTTGTGCATACCATTTTAAGGTTCGTTTAGAAAAGGAAGATATTATTGAACGCACTTTGTAAGGAAGGCTTTACAAATGTTTTTGAATATTTCGAATCGTTATTTTCCTTTCAAATTTCCTTCTTGGATCTTCTTTAAACGTGTTCTATTGATAGGTACACTCATAAAGCGTATGAACAACCAGATCCAGTCAAGATTGGGTTCATGATTTGAACGATTGGAGCGCAAGATTAAAAGTTGAGTATAACTGACAAATGAAATTTGAAATCAGCGACATTTGTGAGGTTTTTATGGCGCAAAATACTTTACTTGAAAAATTCGGTGCCTTTAAAAAATAATAAAAAACCCATAAATTAATGGTATAGAACCAGTGAATTGCATCACAATTTGAAGGATGCATCAAGACGAGATATTAAAATATATTGAGACTAAAAACAACTATGTGCAGAACGACTTTAAGCTACATTTCATCTTTGAAGTTCTGTATTTTCCAGGAAATCGGGAATTATACAAGAAAAAGATGCATAGCTTAGAACGGAAGATGGGAGAAGATGTAAGAATGCATACTCCATATAAAATAAAGAATTTCCTATCAAAAGGATTTAAGAATTCGTTTAAAAGTACTCATCAATCAGGTATGACAAATAATTTGGGCCTCGACGTTTTTTTAAGGATTTTTGCTGAACGGAAAAAAATAATTTGAATTTTTCACTAACACTATCATACAAAACATCAAAAATTAAATTCTCAAAATTCTTAATTATTCAATCATTAATCCAAAGTATTATGATTTGAATAGGAAAAGTAGATGATGCATTAGCAGTTCCTACTATTTTAAGAGCTTTTACATCATTATTGAGTGATATTTTCGAGACTTTTCATATTTCATTTTTGATTTTGTTTGTAAACAAACAAATTTTGTAAACAAACAAATTACAAACCCGTTAAAAAAATTTTAACTTAATTTTGTCCATTTGGGTATGTTAATGCAGCAATTTTAATTTTTTTATAAACTCAAATAGAACAGAATTAAATTTCCGACCCAAAAAAATACATTTGGAGATATATCAATAAACAATAATGAAGATGTAGCAAAATTCCCAAAAATTGTACGTGAGTGACGCTTAGTTAAAGTGATTTTTTCGAGTAACAGTAAACTTTCATGAAGTGAATTGTACAACAATAGATGGAGATTTTAATTTTCTTTTCAAAAAAGTAACTCTTAAATTTGTCACTTTTAAGGATAAGGAGATAATCAAGAATAACAAAGCGTCGCTCACGTACAATTTTTTTGTGACGAGGCCCATTTGATATTATGTCCATTAAGCATAGCTAATAAGTGTTATCTACAGGTGTAAAAATAATTCACAGTGCCTCATTACTCAGTGGATTCAGTGAAGCTGATTTCGGACTTGTAAGCAGAGCTTATTCCGATGAAAGCAAAGACGAGAAAGTTGATGACTTTATTATGGCATTTGAGAAGCTTGTTAGTGATCCAGAAGCAATACCGTCCAATAGTGTTATTATATTAAGTCAAGATCAACATCATATGGAACGACTTAAAAGAAAAGCTGAAGTTTCCTTTACTATTAATGAAAAAAAGAGGAAAATAGCAGCTAAAAGTAAAGGACAAAAGTCAATAACAGACTTCTTTCGATCCACAAAGTCATCATCGTCCAATAAAACACAAAAATCAGAAGAACCAACTTACAAGCTAGAAGAAATAATCAAAAATAAGAGAGGTAGTGATAGTAATATAAAGATACTATGGATCCCAAAAAGCAATGATGAATTAAATCCAGGAACTTACATATCAGTGCTATTTTGTAAGGAAGTTGTTTCACTGCTGGAGGGTGATGAGAATTTGGATGCAATAGATGCATGCAAAGAGGAAATAAATGTCTTTCCAAGTGCTGCTTGGTGGACAATCATGAAGTATGTCGAGAAATTGGAGAAAGCATATGAAAAAGAATCTAAAAGTATCGATGATGAGAGTGAATCTAGTGACCGAGAAGCCGAAAACGACGAACCAAATGACATTAATCAAGAGACAAATTAATACTAATCAATCTACGTGATAATATTGAGTACAAGACTATTTAAAAAAATAACGACCAGAAAATATTTGAAAACAAACGGTCTCAAAAAATTCAAAAAACTGTCAAAATTTTTGAAGAATAAAATTCAAAAACTTTGAAAAATAATGGTCGATTATAAAATGCACTGAAATTTAAAGGATTTAAAATTATTTAAGTAGGGTAAACCATGTTGAAATTTGTGCACTCAAATTAATTGCAAATCATCATTAATAAGCCATTTATACTGAACATTTATAATTTCTATGTAAAAAAGATGTCCAAATGTTTCTACCTCATTTAAGATGATCTTGAAACCTTATCCTTACCTCAAAAAGCGAATTTGAATATTGTTTAATCATTTAAAAATGTTTCTGGTCATAAAACGCCATTGGAAGTGCTCTAATAATTAATTTTAAAATCACAGGTTTTTAAATGTTGAAATTTGTGTAAAATATTTTGACAAATGTTAAACTTTTTGCGTTTTTCATCGTATCAAGCAATGACACATTTTGTCAACAATAAATATTATTTATGTATGAAATACATGTTTTTAGAAGTACAAATGAGAAATAACATGATTGGAACTCCTCAAAGTTAAAAACCAAAAGTTAAAAAAATGCGTCTCGTTCAAAACTGCAGAAAATATTATGAAAAACTTCGAAACCTTCAAAAAAATTATTAATCTCCCCAAAGCATTCATATGTATATCCTCTTTTTATTTCAATTTAAGATCATTTTTAAAAAACATAATTTTACCAAATTTTTAAGGTATTGTTTTGAAGTTGAATTACAAGTTGAATCTTGTATCTTGCATGCATCTTAAGAAATAAATTAAAAAACAGTCAGCTGAGTAGTAATTATTTGGTTTTAATTTGATTCAGATATTTGCCACAAATCGCGATTTAAGTTTCAAAAAATTGTAAACAAAATGTTTGTTTACATTTGAGAATTGAAATTATGTCAAAGTTTGCTATCAAAAAAGTGCACAAATTTCAACATTTTTTCGAACAAATTTTAAAATTTTCGGCACAAATTTCAACATTTGACCAAAAATGTCATAATTCTCTTCCCATAAGCAGCACATCTTTCATAACATAATGTAAAATGAAAACTTCCACAAATTGTGATATTTTAAGCTTATAATCAGATTTTCATTATCAGCCATTAAAAAGTTACATGCAAATCAAATCTTCATGTGCAAAAACACACAAATTTCAACATGGTTTACCCTATTGACAAAACAGAATTTTAGTATTTTTCATATTATTTTTTTTATTATATATTAATTAATATATACAAAACTTTGAGTCAAAAAGCCTTAATAAATTTATATCGTGTCATATTTTTTCTTAAAATGATCAAGTTTCTTAGTCAATCATGATAAAGAACAGTAGCTGCTCAAATTCAGTCAAATCATGAAACATTTTGCTCATGATAAATTCCTTTAAGCACATTTCGTAGTCCTTAACATCAAGATATTCTAGATTTTTGAAAAAATCACGTTGTGGAATGTGAGTGATGTTAAGGTAGTCAATTGATAAAGTTTTAAGGTGCGGTGAATTTTGACTTATAAAATTCATAAATTGGAAACTCATGTGTAAGATTGATAATGAAGTTACGTTTGGGGTCGCAACAATGATTGATTTGAGAATGTTGAAGTTTTCAGGTGAAACTCCGATGCTCATCTTTTTGATGGATGGATTTCTGATCAGCATTAAGTCACTGTAATCGACATTATCGTGTATTTGATTAAATCCTTTAATTGTTAAACTTTTAAGCTTTGGTAAACTGTAGACAGCCTTAAGGACATCATCACCCAACCAGTCACTAAGAATGACAGTCTCTAAAGTGCTTGATTGTTTTTTAAGGAAAATGATTAAGTTTGTGTAGAATCTCTTGTAAAAAGCACCTTCTTGATAATTTACATTAGCAATTGACAGCTTTTTAAGCCTGAATGGAACTTTATCCGAAATGTCGTCATACAAAATTTGATGAAAGACCCGACCCGACACATTAAGAACTTCTATCTTCTCATTTTTCTTGAAGAAATTCATGACTGCATTTAAACTAGCCACATTATGCTCATTTGAGAACAAGTCAAGTTGTGTCAGGTGTCGAATATTTTGAAATATTTCAGGAAATAAGAATGCTTGTGTGTTTTTAGCTACAAACTTCCTTAAATTAGGAAACATAAAGCCTTTGTTTGTACCATCTGAGTATGGATGTCGGACATATACACCGCTTAATTCTAAGCACTTGACATGTTCTTGAATTAATGAGAAAAACAGCCACGTTTGTTCTGGTGTTCCAAAGCATGTATTTGTGATGATTATGTTGTTCCATTTGCGTGACTTTAATACATCGTAGATTGCATCCATACACTGTGCACATCTCTCAACTTCTAATGTCTCGTAGTTTCTTGTACTTTTCTTAATTGAACTCATAATTCGTCTTGAATAGTCTCGGTCCATATTACAACTTATCTTGAGTTTGACATTTTTCATTAAGTTACTTGATTGTCCTATAAAGTCATACCATAATGTGTTAACTAGTGATGCTCTCATTAAATCCTTTACTGGTAAAAATGACAAGATATGTTCAGCTATTTCGTATGGAAAATATTCCAATGGATCGACTGTGAATGTGCTCTTTAACTTCATCTTGTTGCTTATAAATTTTTATTTTTGTCACTGATTACTTGAACTTTGCTAAGATGATACTGAATGATTACAGAAACTTTCCATTCATTTTTATACGATTTTATGTGAGAATAAATTATTTTTTTGGTACCTGATTCTTGAGGAATTTTTATTGTTATTATTTACCTGATCAGATTCTGAAACTTTTTAGATTGCAGGAAATAGATTTGAGGATTAAACAATATTATTTTCAATTTGGAAAAATAGCGTTTATAAGTTTTTTAAAAAAATAACGGCTGTTTAAATTTTGAAAAATCATTCTGAATTTTTTAAAAATGAGAATAACGGTAATATTGAGGATATCTAGTTTTGGATCTGACAAGCAGAAAAACATTAATTAACTGACATGAACTAGTTTTTTTTGGATTTTCGTAATTTTATTCCACAATAACTTCTTGCTTACATAGTAGAATGTAAAATGACCTTCGGATGTATATGAAGAGAATCATAAACTCATTTATTCATCAGCAATATGAAGGATTTCCTTCTTGGCAGCTGATCGATTGGATGCGACAATTTGTGTTGCAATTCTGTCTAAATCCCGTTGTCCTTGAGCTGTCAATTTGCGACCACCATCAGCATGTTTCTCAACTAGCTTGATGTGTTCGAGTGCTTGAAGTGCACGACGAGCAACAGCTCCATCAGCACGGCACCAATGGGAAGGACATACACCATCGCGTTGTCTAGTTCCGTAGATTTTCTTAACACCACCAACACCAATAGTTCCACGATGATACATACGTCTTAAAATACTTGCACATCTAACATAGAACCAATCAGCGTGTGTTGGACCTAAATCCTTTGCTTTTGAGGTCTTGACGACATCCATATTGTCTGGAACCTTCAGTTTACCAGATTTCTTAAGGAACAAAGCTACTCCTTGGACAATTTTGTCTTGATCGACATCTTTTACTGTTAAACCAGGCATAGTTGCTGATCACCTAGAATTACATAGATCAATTAATATTTTTTTGGAATCAATTTCGCGACTATAAACATCCCAAAACATAACCTCGACATATTCAAAGTTTCATTAATTTTTCATAAATATAGCAGTTCTGTATTATTGAATTGTCATGGATCTAATAAAATGCATCAATTAATTAATGTATGTGCTGCAACTTCATCATTTTTGTGTCTATTTAATCAACAAGCAATAAATTTCATAAATTATACAAAACAATTTTTGGATCACCACTTTTAATTAATTTTTCTATAAAACTACAGCCATTATCCATGAAACTTTGATTTATCGAGATAGTTGCACAATCAGTGATTAATCCTGTCCATTTTCTAGTGCATTTTGGGATGTTTTAGCGCTATTTTAATTAAATAATTACTTTTACACGTTTTATTTGTGAAAAGTTGAGAGAAAAAGGGGGATTCAAGATCACTCGCACCAAGTAGACACCGACTTTTGTAAGGTTCTCAAATTATTTGAATATTTTTTATCCGTTAATAAAAATAACGACTTTTTGATCGAGTCACATGGCGCTATACATTTAATCAAATTTTATGAGATTATTATAAAGAAACAGAACTGATTGCTGGCAAATAACCACAGTTTAGCAGTTCTCGAATGAGAAAAATTCGCAATGTGGTTGAATAGCATATTTAAATATTAATAATATGAATATGTGGCTTAATAATGTGAATTAGTAATAAAAATTCATATGAACTAATTTCAGACAATTGTTTCATATTTCTTCTCAATTCACAACAAAAAGCATTTCTTCTCACATGCAGAAAAAAGGCAATTGAAAAATGCATTAAAGTTGTGCAATTAACATGTGTCACTTTTATGCAATTGTCAAGTTCAAATCGATTTTGAATTATTCAAGACGATGCATGACATCTAATTGTCTATTACAGCACTGCAGATTTGTGCTAATTAACCGAGGCATGAAATTAAAAACTGCAATAAAATTTGCTTTTTTATATTGCGAAACTTGTTTGACTTAATTTAATTTTTAAATACATTTACACGGCTTTTTTGACTCTAATCGAAAAAATTTGTGTCTGTTTTTTTTTGCTAAAATCAGTTTTAAATCTTTTTGTCATCGATGTGAAAAAAGCTTAAACCAATAACGAGAAGAAATAAGAAAATTTAAGATTTTGTAAAGTCATTGTGTCTATTCAAGAATGACTAAAGTGCTTTTTAGATTGATTAAGCTTGCGAAATTAACATTTTTTGAATCATAAGGTTTTTTCTTTAAATTTTAACGGCTTTCGAAATTTGAATTTTTAACGAAGAACTGAAACAAAATGAATTGTGAATTACTGAACAGATTTTTGAATTAAAAATGACTGATAAAATTTGGATAAAAATAACGGCTTTTTGATCGAGTCACATGGCGCAGATTTTTGAATTAAAAATGACTGTTAAAGTTTTGAATTTTTAAAAACTGTTGAATTTTGTTGAATTTTGATGAATTTGTCATCACAAAAAACTCCATAAGAACAGTCATAATAACACATTTAAATAGACAATTCTTCGTGAAATTCAGCTTTAATAATTTTATTGTAATAGTGTCAAAAAAGAAGAAAAGAGAAGAGAAGAAACAAGCCATTTAGTGACACTTGTATGGAGCGATTCACAAAAGATTTGTATTAATTAAATGTACAGTTTTCATGCTTTGTTAATAAGCTCTTTAATTTTCAATAGAAACGATGACAATCTCTTGAAATAAATGCAAGACACGACCTATGACTTATGATTGATGAATAGAAATAAGCGATCATGTTATGAGAAATCGATTAAAAACACTTTTTTTGATACATATCGCTGCTCCCAAGGATTTCTCTATTATTGAACAATTTCTTTCACATGACTTGAGCTTTAAATTCCCACATTCAGTGAGCTTTATGCAATAACTTTTGACCTAACTGCATCCAGTTTAGTTGTTGATGGTCAGGAATAGTCAATAGAATAATGATTAAAACTTACTTCTTGCAGCACGCTCTGCATTAATTCACACATGTTTGTTGCACAAAGTGTTAAGCAGCACACGTTGATGCTATGGAATTATTATTCTCTATGCTTGTTGCGTTCCATTCATAACAATATGAATAAAGAGAGAGAGACTTTGGCTGCTGACTTGCTCTTGGTTATTGTTATGAAAAAAATACAGCATAGTACTTGATTCATAATGCTAAGTTTAAACAGACATTCGTAGTTTGTATTCGAAGCAAGACAGACGAGCAATAAATCGTTGGTGGTTAAATAAATATTCGCGAGAATCATTAATAGTGCCTTCAATCGAAAGAATTCAATCATAATAGAAAGGTCTGAAAAAGTGAAAATCTATTATTAGTTATGATTAATTAAATCTTTTGTGTAAAAGTTTCTGAGAATCTGCAAAAAGTGAGATTTTTATAAGTGAAAGCATTCTTGAGTGAAGTGTGGCTTGCTATTAAAATATCTAATGTTTGACATTTTAAGGCTCAAAATAGTTTTATTACCGTTGAACAGTTTTTTTTGAATTTCAACTGTCAAAAATTATTCAAATTTTATCTGTCAAAAAATATTTGAATGTCAACTGTTCAAAAATTTTAAAAAATAATTGACAGTTATATTTTTTGAATATCAATCTGAGATGTCTGCAGACTGCTTCATCTCTTTATGATAATAGAGTACCACAAAATTACTATTCCACAAACAATAATAAATAATTTTCCCCAAAAGAAGTCTGCTCAAAAATGCGGAACACAAAAAATTCATCGTGAATCCAAAAACTAGTTCAAGTTGAAACACAAAGGCAGGCGCTAACCCGAAAATAGACATAAACAAAGACAGAAACATATCATTTTCACAATTATAGAAAAAAAAGTATAATTAATGGACCCACCCGAAAATCATTTGTTGTGTATTTAAAGTCTATTAAATAGTTTCACAGCATGTAAAACCACATAGTGGCATGAATTAGGTGTAAAAGAAATGACTCAGAGCTTTTTTTTTTTTTTTTTTAAATTAAACTTTTTATTTATTTACATTTAAATTTAAGTATGTACAAAGTTTCTATACATTTTGTTGCTTTTTGTTTTAAGGTTTCAGGCATTCAATTTGCCTTTTGTCTCTTAATTTTGATTTCATTTACGGATTTTACTTTCTTTTGTATTTCATTTGATTTATTCGGTGTTTTGAGATGCAAGACGACTGTTGAAGTTCGCTTGCAACTTTCCGACGTAGTCTTCGATGGACGGTATTTTCGCTTCTGTATGAAGATCGGTGATCCTTTCATATCTTGTTTTATTGAGAACAATTCTCAAGAATTTGTTTTGCAGTACTTGAAGTTTTTGAAGATGGGTTTTTGCCATGCTTCCAAACGCTGGACAACCATATGTGAATATTGGTCTGATGGCTAGCTTGTAGATGAGAAGTTTGTTTCGTACGTCGAGTTGTGAGTTCCTGCTGATGAGCGGATAAAGCTGTCTTAATGCGGTGTGAGCCCTATTGGTCACATACTCCACATGCGGCTTTAATGTCACTCTCTTGTCGATCACCATTCCCAGATATTTAGCTTCTGTTTCCCATTTGATGTTTTCGTTGAGAAATTTGATGTTATTTCCTGGTAGTTGCCTGGAGTGCCTGTTTGTGATGAATAAGGCTTGAGTCTTCTGTTTGTTGAGGTTGATCTTCCATTTGTTCATGTATTGTTGAACTTTTCTTCCTGTGTGCTGTAGATGTGTCACAATATCGGCCGAGTTCTCTGCAGAATGATACAGTGCTGTATCATCTGCGAAAAGACCGATGTTGTTGGTTGTCTCTCTTACAACATCATACGTGAAGATGTTGTAGAGAGTTGGTGAAAGCACTGCTCCTTGTGGCACTCCGAATTTGATTACCTTGATTTCTGAGAACTGACCTTTAATAAAAACTGCGAAAGATCTTTCACTGAGGAAAGATCTTACAGTTTTTATAAGCGGCAGTGGAAATCTCAGTTTGAGCATTTTGTACAAGAGTCCGTTATGCCAGACTCTGTCAAATGCTTTTTCTACATCCAGGAAGATCATGCCTGTTGACTTTTTGTTGTTTAAGTTTTCTTTTGCTGATTTGATCACTTTGATGAGCTGGTGAGATGTTGATCTTCCAGTCCGGAAGCCGCACTGCTGGTTTGGGATGATGTTGTTATCCTCAAGATGATCGTTGATTCTATTCAGTAATACTCTCTCCAGTATTTTGCTTATTGAGCTGAGTAGACTTATTGGCCTGTAGCTGCTTAGCTCATTTGCTGGTTTTCCAGGTTTTGGAATAGGAATCACTTTTGCATGTTTCCAAACTTTGGGGAAGTGGTTGAGTTTCAGACACGAATTGATGATGAATTTCAAGTATTCGAAACCTTTTTCAGGAAGATTTTTGATGAGTATGTTGTTGACTTCATCTAGTCCCGGAGCTTTTGGATTTTTCAGATTTCTTATGATGCTCACGATTTCGTTTACATCTGTTAGTTCTGGATTCTCATCATTGTCTTGTTCCAATGCTTCTTTGACTGTGTTGTTTACTTCCTGTGTATGTTGTGGATCGTTTTGTTCCAGAGGATTTTCGTGAGCTTCACGAAAATACTCGCTGAGTGCGCTGGCTTTTTCTTTGTTGGTGATGAACGTTTTACCCAGATTTGTCAATGGAGGCATTGTTTTTGAACCTTTTTTGCAAAATTTTGCTATTCTCCAAACTGTTTGGTTTGACGGTTGAATCTCTGAGAGACGCTTATTCCAGTTTTTGTTTTTGAGTTCTTTAATTTTCTCATTGATGACTCTCTGCAGATAATTCAATTCAGATTTGAGTTGATTATCTCTGCTTCTCTGCCATCTTCGACGAAGACTCCTTTTTGTGTTGATTAGATCTTTAATCTCCGGTGTGAGTTTAGTTGATTCGAACTTGATCTTTTTCATTTTTACACTTGAGTTCCTCGCTTCCATGATGAGTTCAGAGAGAATCTTAATGTGGTTCTCGATCTCATCTGTTGTATTGCAAGAATTTTCTCCAATGTTGTCTTCAATGCGGCGTGAAATTTGTGCTTTGAACTTTTTCCAGTTTGCGTTTTTGTAGTCATATCTGTAGACTGTATTTTCAGTTCTGTCGATTTTTGATGTTTTGATTTGGAAATACACAGCGCAGTGATCACTCATTGCCTCTGTGCATTGAAGTTCTGTTGTTTCGAGGTTGGAATTCGAGAGCATCAGGTCAATTGTTGACACTGATTTGTTTCGATCTTCTGGGTAGTACGTTGGCGAGTCAGGAAAGTAGATCATGAACTCTCCTGACATTTCCTGAAGAATATTTCCTGATTTATTTGCAACGTTGCAGTTCCATTCTCGATGTTTTGCATTGAAGTCTCCACAGATGTAGTAATTTCCTCTCAGATTTGTTATTTTGTTGATGTCATCTCTCAGATGTAGATCTATTTCCCCTCCTTTGCTTCCTCCTGGGAGATAGACTGAGAGGATGTGACAACTATCCGTGTCATTGATGAAGACTTTGATTCCAATGCATTCCATTAGTTTTGTGTTGTAGCTTGGTTGAAGCTGATGTTTTAGATTTCTTTTGACGATGATTGCAACACCACCCTTTGGTCTATCCACGCGATCCAATCGATGAATTACGTAGTCTGGATGCGAGTCAATTTTTGAGTTTGGTTTTAGGAATGTTTCTGAGATGCAAGCAACATCGACGTTTTGCTTGCTTAGGTAGTCGAGAAATGCTAACATTTTGTCAGTGAGGCCGTTAGCATTCCAGTAGAGGACGTTGATACTTTGTTGTCTACAATCCATTATTGTATGCGGTGTTTTTGGCACTTGAGCCGATTGCTTGGAGTATTTCGTCGATGAACTCTGGATTTTTGGCGATTAATTTGAGAAGCTCGCTGATAAGGTACTTGCACTTTGATTCCTCTATTTCTGAGATGTTTTTATCTCTTGTGCTGGTGCTTTGAGCTTGTTGATTAGTTGTTATGTTTCGATTCACTACCTCAACACTGAATGAAGGTTCTGGGAAGACTTCATTCGAGGTCTGACTTGTTGCACTGATGTCTTCTGAGTCCATAAGCTCAACATCTTGCTTTGGTTTTTGATGTTGATTGTTATTAATGCGCTCGTTTTGCTTTTTTCTTTGATTCTTTTTCCAATGTTTTCCTCTTTCTTTATTGTTTTGTTGGTTGTTCAAGTTATTTTTATTTCCCTGATTTGAGGGTTTGTGATTTGGAGGAGGATTTGTGTTCCTTGGTTTGTGGTTGACTGGAACTTGTTTTTGATGAACAGGCTTTTGTGTACCAGATGTTGATGGTTCCATATACTCCTTTCTCCATTGAGGTTTTGGTGCATGTTGGACGTTTCTGGTTGATCTCTCAGGACGATGCGGTGTTGGAGGATTGTTTCTCCGTTGTCCATATGAATAATGGCCTGCTGTTTTGTTTTGATTTTGGTTGTTTCCATTCTGTGATTTTGATTTCCATTTTTCAATTATTTCTTGTCTGGTTTTACAACCTGTGAAAATTGCTGTATGTTTTTCACCGCAGAAGAAACATTTGAGTTTTCCGAGTGGAACCTTGTTGGTCTCTTTCGATATGTACTGGCACGTTTTCGAGTCATGTTGCTCAGAGCATCTGAAGCAAACGGACGGTTTGTTACAACCGTTTTGTCCATGACCAAACTGCAGACATTTCGAACATTGAGATGGTCCAGCTTGTCTATTTTTGTAGTCAGCCCATTTAATTTTGAAACTGCTGACAATTTTGATTTTTCTGAGGAATTCCAGGAAATTTCCACCTTGTTCTACATCTTTTTTGAAGTACACGAGGTAGTTCTGGTCGTCGTCTTGTTCGTGTCTTTTGTGTTTCATTGTCATTTTGACAATTTTTACTGGTGTGATTTTTACGGTTTGAAGTTCCTTCTCCAACTCACTGATTTCCATATCTGGGAGTCCATAGAGTACGTACTTCTTCAGTGGTTCTTGGCTGGAGTATGTGTGGAAGTGATGCTTTTTGTCTTTGAGTAGTTGGATGAATTTCTCGTAGTAATCCCAACTCTCCGTTGTTACCGTTTTTGTTCCTTGTTTGCCCTTTTTGGTCTCAGGTTGATTGTTTATTTCATTCGTCAATCTCTTGATTTCACCAGCTCCTCCTGTGCTGATGACAATTGGAGGTGGTTTTGATTTTTGTTGAGATTTGTTGTTGTTGCTTTCCGTGTTTACGGAAATTGTCTTTTGTTGCTCTGATGTTTTGCTGTTTTCTCCCCAGTACGAAGAAGTTGTCGATCTTTTTTTCTCCTGTTCTGGTGAACCAAATAGATACGGTACTCCAGAAGACGAAGCTTTCTTCACTGGTGGGAGTACGAACAGTGGTTTGTTCCCATCTTTTGGTTTGCTTTCGTTTGCTACTCTTTTTAAAAGAGCGTTGGGAACTATCACTTCTCGAGGGCGTTTTTCTGCTTTACTTGCTTCATTGAGAAACTTCTTTATTGATATTTGTTTTTTTGGTTTGAGATTTGTCATCTCAATGTCGGCTGCTTGTGAAACATCTTCACTGAAAATTTCCTCAATATTGAGAATTGTCACTGAAGATGAATGTTGTTGTTGAGAACTATTAAGTCCATGCTGATTTTGAGAAAGATTTTCTTCGTTGTTGGTAGTTTTTGGTGATGCTATCATTTTGATGTTTTGAGAATCAAACTGAGATTTTAAAACTTTTTGTAAACAAAAAGCTTCTCAGGTAGTCTCTGTTTTGTTTCTTTTGAGATTTTTGAATAATTTGCGGAGCGATTTGTAAACACGTCTGTTCACGTTGAGATCTAGTTTGCAACTGCGAACTCAGAGCAATTAACATAGAATTTCATTTCCCTATCCAAGCTCAATAATAATGTTCTTTTTTTGTATGTACAGCAATAAGTTATTACAGCATAAAGATCTATTTTCCTTTATAAGCCACCAAACATGTGTCATTTATGAACATTATGCAAAACCTTTGGCTATGCAACATAAAAAAGCAGCAGTATTATGAATAGTGGGAAAAAAATGTTTAGGTAGCACACAAAAAAAAATTATAATTAATTGAATGTTGATGCTCTCATTTTCAGATTTGATCATGCGATCGCTTATTCTTCAATTTTTCGCAATCATCTCCATTCATGCATTAGAGAATCCAATTCCATCGATGCTATTGCAGCCAAGACATTTTAATCCTCATCCATACCAGGAAGAATCAAAGAGATTTTTAATTGCTGTTGCTGATCACGATGATATCGGATTGGAACAAAAGTTTTATCATCTTGCTCAACAGTTTCGAAAGTAAGTTTTTTGTTTGTTCATTACAAATGAGGAATGGAAATGAAATGGTCAGTAAGTTTATAAATTATTAATCATATGAAAGATGATGTTGAGTAACAGTCCAGGGGCGATAAACAATAAATATTTCATGGATTATTTTTTTTCTGGGGAGGTCCAAGATTTTATGAATCTTTTAGATCTTTTCTAAATTGATTTTAAGGACTTACTATATTTGATTAATTGCTTAATGCAGCTTTAGATGTCATCAGACAAAGAATCCTATCCAAAAGTGTCACGTCGAGAGTGTTTAACCTCCAAAAACCTTTCTTGCCTCTGTCACTGAACTTATCTAATAAGACTTTAAATAATCATGAATTTCCAGTTCCACTCCCGAACCAATGGATTTCAACACACTTACAAATAACTCAATTTTTCATTCACAGCACTGGACCTGTAAGATTTCCAGAAAGCCCCGAATTGTACGCTCAACAAGAACAAAAACAAGAGCAACACAGAAAAGTCGTCTCACATATCGTTAATCATCAAGCACTCCAGTCACCACAATATCAAAAAATATCACACAGTAGACGTCCAAAGAAAATGCGGATCGTGACTACTGATCAATATGAAGTGCCCCGAATTTTGGCAGCATTAACAAATCACGCTCGCCGTGTTCAAAATAATGAATTTCAACAGTCAACATATTCGCCTTCGTTGCCTCAGCATTACCTAAATAGAATTGACAATGAACAGCCAAGAGTTGATGAAGTCGATCGACATGTGACATTACCAAGTAATATAGAGAAGAAGCAATATAAGTTTGCATACGCTGTAAAAGATCGACATTCAGGCGATGACTTTTCGCACAATCAAAAGCAAGAAAATGGATCAGTTCGTGGAAGTTATAAGGTTCTATTGCCTGATGGACGAATTCAAACAACAAAGTATTATGCTGATGAGACAGGATATCATGCTGATGTGACGTACGAAAATGACATTCAGCCTCAAACTGCAACAGAACCAATTAAAAATTATTCAGAGCAGGCAGCAATTCAGCAAAATAGTTATTATCCACAACATACAAAGCCAATCAATAGTAAAGTTCGATACACAGTGACACCAACGCCATACCTAAATTCAGACTACAATCACATTCGTGCACCAGTAATCCGTAAATCTTATCCTTCAACTACATCCATTCCAAATTCATACTATTGAGATCTTTTTTCATTCATGAAACTTTTTTTTGTAAGAATTGAATCAATTTTTATTTTGACAATAAAATATTTGTAAAAGAAATCAGGTTGCTTTTGTGCTTATAACAAACAGAGTCACTCGATATGGAAATTTATTGTTCATGCTTAACGTATGAAACAAACAAAAAAACCGCAAAGTTCAAAAGGAAGTATTAAATATTTTCATTCACAAAAATGAAGAATTGAGTTAAATGGATAAGTAAATGTTGTTGATGGAGCATCTTTTATTGACTGTTGATTGCATTAATCTTACAGAAATGGCTGATCTTGCGTGTTTGTTTTTTAAAGATTTACATTTTAATTTCAGGATTTGATTACAATTTCAATATTTTGTTCAGTCGCAATATTGAAATTTAATATTAGCCTGAACTAAAATCATCTCTGATTCAAACTGGATGAAACCAAGATATGTAAAATAAATTGAATTTTATGCGATAATTTTGATTTAAGTAAGCTTTGTTTAAAATAATAAATTTATTGAGCTTTTTAAAAACAAAACTTTTACATTTCAAATTATGAATTTTTTTGTAATAGGAATAGTCGCAAACTAGTGGTAAGTATCCATTAAAGTTAACTTAACAGCAACAATATGAAGTAAACTCAAAAATTTCTCAGAATTCACTAAAATTTTGAAACAAATTTGAGTGTGTAGCAAACTCATCGCCAAAAGATATCTAAAAGATCTTGTTTAAACTGAATTAAGATTGAAAAATTCAATTAAGGCTTAGTTGTAAACAGGGTGGGGGAGTTTTTTGCGATTTAAATCAAAATCACAAATCAAATTGTGATTTTTGATTTAAATCTCAATGAAGAATGATTTGAAAAATGATTTCTGATTTAAATCATTTTACCCAAGTGATTTATTTGTGATTTATGATTTAAATCACATTGTATGGAAATTTTTTTTTTGGGATTTTAAATCACTTGAAGGTGAAAATTTGTTTGGGAATTTTCAGAAGATTATTAAAAACATTAATCATTTATGATGGATATCCTTTCTGGCCTATGATATGCCAAGAGACGATGTCAACGTTGGAGCAAAATAAGTTTAAACTTGTTTCGAATGTTTTTCGAACAAAATTTCGCAATTTCGAAAATCATATTTTTTATGAAAATTTTAACTTTTCGCAATTTTTGACTTAATTCACTTATTAAGTATATATCGAATCCTTCTACTATGTTAATCAACACTCATTTAATCGTTTAATCGATGATAAATGCAGGAAACATTAGTTTAATATGATTTTTTTCAAAAATATTCAAAAAATTTTGTTGTTGTTTACATTGAAAATTAAAATGTCATTAATTCACTTGCATTAATTGTTTAGCAAATCAGTAATGATTCATTACAGTTGAGTGGATTCTTTTAGCATTTTGATGATGAAAAACAAATATGTAAACCATTAATTAAAGAGATTAGACATTAATAATTTAACGTGAAAAAAAAATTTGAACTCATGCTCGAAAATAAGGTCCCAAAAAAAAAATCAATATCGAAAATAAGGACTCGTTGGCGTACCATAGTTTCTGGCTTTTGGATATTGTAGTATGCAGATGTTGGTATAGCTCTAAAAGATAAAGCATGAATGGATCTAGCATCATATGAGGAACTAGTCACTTAAAGTCCCTTTAAAGCATTTTTTGATAAATTTTCATTGTCAAAGAGGTATACGTTTGTATTTCTTAGCCAGAGGTATGATTAGACACTGGAACTGCCCAGTTCCTTTACATCCCAAAAAAATTTTTTGTTTCTTTTTAATCAAGGAATCACATTCTGGAACAAAAATTTTTTTTGAGGATGTAATGGAACCATGCAGTTCTAATGCCTATGGATCCTCTGTGTTATTTAAAACAATTTGGAACACTTGGTTGCTGAAAATTGCTGAAAAAAAGTTTTTGAAGCATTGGAAGTGATCGGATCTTCATATGCAGCTACATCCAGTCATGAATAATCATGTCCAGTTACGTGGATATACTTTTCTAAAGCCATAATGGCACAGTAAGTGAATGAATCGCATAATGAACACTTTTCTGTGAAAGTTTTAAAAATCATTGCTTACTTTAACATTTATTGCAAACATTTGGAACCAAAAGATCCAGTAATAAAATGTACAGCAAATACATGAACATTTTTGTCATCCAGTCATTTCCTCAAATCCATAAACTCTTATTCCTTCATTATCTTCCAAAAATTCTGAACAGAATTGCAACCAAAACATCCAAAATATGCAGCAAGTCATATCAGCAAGAATTATGGAATGATCCTTTCGAGAAATTCAGGCAAAAGTGGCAACGCTTAAAAAATCGTTGAGAGTTTCAGAGATGAATTTTATATGAAAAGGAAAAACTCCAATTCAAAACTCCACTCAATTTTCCAGATGAGTTTAAAGTTTAAACTCAAATTCTTTTTTCAACTCCTTTTGAAAATGAGTTTAAACTCAAAATAAAAAAAACTCATTTTGAAAAATGAGTTAAATTCAAATTCATTTCAAAACTCATTTGAAAATGAGTTTGAATTTGAGTTTTGAGTTAACTCCCCACCCTGATCATAAATCACAAATAAATCTTTAATACAAAATGATTTAAATCATAAATCAAAAATAAATCACTTGGGTAAAATGATTTAAATCAAAAATCATTTTTCAAATCATTGCAAAATGATTTTGATTTTGATTTATGATTTAAATCCCCACCCTGGTTGTAAACAAAGAACCTTGGAGCTGTTAAGAAAATTCATAGATTTAAGCCTAAAACAAAATCAATTTTGATAAAGTAAAGATACGCTTGAAACTCTCTAAAAAAGATCAAATACTTGATTGACATCATAACTGAATGACTTCAAACTGATCAATTGGTAAACATTCGGAAACAGAAAATAAAAACCAGAAATTATTCCTCATATTTTCAATTCACTCCTTAAAATCGACATAAACTTTGTCATTAGATAGTAAACAAGTACTTGCATGTACTTGAATAAAAACAGTCGATTTGTATCAAAGGACATAAAACTATAATTTCGAAAAAAATCATGCTTTGATTTATGATTTCAATCGTCATTCCAAAAGCTTCTTTTCATGTATGTTTCAAGCTCATACTCTAAAACATAATTCTGTCAATGATAAATCGAATATTCATTCAATAACAAGCTTATTTGTGGCTAAGGAACGTGAATCGAAGGAGTTATGCATGATATGATTTATGCACAGTTTGATCTCAACATTATGTACAAATGTGAGCTATAAAAAATATAATCCACATATGTTCTGATGCAAAATCACATTCAAGACATGATGAAAAGGGGGAACCGAAAGAAATATTGCAAATTGATGTTAAGCACGCGAGCTAATTTGTTGGTGAAAAAACTTTTTTGTTGTTCTACCGTCAAGGTTTTAACACGCGTCTTCAACTTGATCGTAATATAATCCTTTCCTACATATATGCTTGTTGTCCTCATAAATATGTCGATTTTTTTTTGTATGTGAAGTTCATTGTTGGGGGAAAATTACTGTACATGACTGTTCCTTACTATTACATTGCCAAAATAATAACAAGTTTCAGAACTCTAACATCAAATAGAATTCCTTGATTGTTGCTTGGTAATATTCCATGTTTGATAAGGTAAAGCACCGATACATTGTAACAAGTTCAAAGACACGCTTAGAAATTTTTCCTATAAAAGAAGCTCCACTTTTGCTAAATAGTTTCTGTTTGTCGTGAATCTTTGTGCAGTGAAAAAGGGAAGTAAAGTGAAAATAGTGATGACATTAACTGGATAATTTGGAATAAAGACAGCACTTTTTTGGAATAATGAAGAACATTCAAGGATTATCGTCGTTAAAATCGCCAGTGAAGCAACCAGTCCATCAAGGATATATTGGATATTTAACGCAAAAACAATTGCAACAACTTAATAAGTACAAAAAAGAACAAGAATCGGATCGTGACAGTGTAATCAGTGGACACAGTAATAAAGGCAGACGAATGAAATTGAGGCATGTCTAATTAATTTCTATTTGTGGATTTCAAATGAGCAAATAAAAAATCTTTTTGAAAATTTCTTGGGTGTGGCACTCACAGAAGCCAAAGACATACTTGCAAGTTATTGAATTTCATCATAATCCACTACTGCCTGACTGATAAATGAAATGTCGTGATTGAATTCCTTAAGTACTGTCGAAACTTGCATATTGATTACTCAAGTGAAAGCCCTTTGCTTATTATTTTTTTGTGCCTTTCCATTCAGGAAGGAAAATCTATAGCACATAAAAATAAAATAGTTTACGATCGGTTCCAAAAAAATGACAACTTTTCACGATAACCCGAAGAAAGTTTACTCTTTTCTTTTTCTTTGACTTGATGTTATTTTTATGGGAAATGACTTGAAGCACACAAAATAGATAGAGACATTGGGCAAATTATTTAATCAATAAAAAAACTTTTCAAATGAAACTTTTTTTTAAAATGGAATGAAAATGTAGATAATGATGGGAATTGGTGGGAAGTGATTGATGTAGAGTGCCTTGTGCGCATTACTTTGGCAAGCTTTGTGAATAAAGCTTAAACAAAAGATAGATCGGAATTTGAAAGGTTTTAAGATGTTAAATGATATCAAAAAGAGTTTGATGGCAGGTTCTAATACAACTTTCTAGGAATATTAAGAATTTCATTAATTTAAACATCATTTATGAGCTGTTTTAAATGAAATTAAATTGACATTTTCCAAAGAAACAAAAGTTTAGATTTCTTTAAACAAACTTAAGTTTTTAAAAACTTAAAACTTAATGCTTTTACTATTTTGAAAGATTTTTTACGATAGAAAAACTTTGTCAATTAGCTAAAATGCGCCAAAATGACTTTAAATTATTTTCACTAAAAGCATTAAGCGTATTAAGCGTATTAGGTGTATAGCCCTTATAAATTAATCCATATGAAATCAAAGCCTGTAAGTTAGAGGACATTAGAACCAAAGAATCATTAAAAATTGTTTAACCTAGATTGAAAAATGACTGTCAATTTGAGTTCATCATAAGTGAACCTGCCCCAAATTTTTTAACAATCAACAGACAAAATGGAACCAAAACAACCCAATCTATGCCAAAAAATTCGCTATCAATTAATGTTGATGAGAAAATTATCGTAAAAATTGATTTCGACATGATCACATTGCAGAAAATTGAGAATGAAATAAAAAAATTAAATAAGAAGCATATGAATTGAGTAGCTTAAAGAAAGAGTTGAATGAAGTCTATTTAAACATACGTGAGATCATGAGAACCAAGTTTGACTTGCGTACTTATTAAATTATTGTATCATAAATTGCAATATTCCAATAATAATAATAATAATAAATGGAAGCAGTCGTTCGTGCATCGTCAAAAATCTATTAAGCTTATGATCTTTAATATCCTCGTAACCTAGGCTTCGATTTCAATAAAATAAAATAAAATTAAATCGCATATTTTTTTCCATAACTTTCTCACCCACAAATTATGTCGTAATTGATTACTAAAATTGTACATCGGCATGTATTAAAAGCGACCGAAGCTAAGCACGAAATGCATTAAATGCGCGAATGTGAAACGAAAATGAAATTCTAAAAGAGGCTCGCGACATAGATTATCATCTTTTTTTTCTATTTCATTCAGAAAATACCTACGAAACTTTCAGTGTCACGCAACGACACGAAGAATTTCCTCTTTTTAATTTTTCAGTATATGATTTTTTGTTTTGTTTATAGTTGCTTTATTTTTGTTTTGCTCTACTTTACCCCTCGTGTGACTTAATAGTAGGGTATTTTCGGGTAGCTAAGCGACAGATGGACGTAAAATTTGTTTATTTACAAATGGTGTGCGTTTTTCATTCAAGCATGTTGTGTGCAGTGGATTAGTCCTTAATAAATATTTGTGATAAATTAGTTAAATTAATTTGAGAGTTTCTAGAAATGCTGCCATACAATGGGGACATGTAAAGATTATTAAAATTCAAAAATATTAATTTGAGAAAATCGATTGAGAAAAAGTGAATCCAACAAAAATTCAAAAATATTCATTACATAATAAATAAATTTTAAATTTCGTAAAATTTCAGGAATAAATTAAATCGTTCACCAAATCCACTGAGTCAGCAGCCACTCATGGCAAGTGGGAGTTCAATGATGATGAAAAAGAGAAGTTTTGACTTTCCTGATCATCATTATCGTGATGCAATTAATCGATTAAAATATATGCTTGGTGATAATTATACAACTCCGACTAAGTTCTCATCGACATCGTCAATATTCAAATCAGTTACAGACGATGAAACTGACACAAATACTGAGAACACAATTATTGAGAGACCAGCGATTAAGGAAGTTTCAAAATATTTTCCTTATAAGGCATACTCAACCCTATCGAATGCTTCATATGCACACAAGAAAACATCAAATAGTTTACAAGTTCCATGTGAGTTCAATAGACCATGACTTTAGTTGTGGGAAATACCAAAGGGGCGAACAAGTTGATTGTAATGTGTAGATACAGAAACCTTACGTTGATTTAAATTGCCTGTGCTCTTGAGCAGCAGCTGAGTTTTATATTCTTCTAACTCAGCGGTTCTCAAACTTTTTGGTTCGTGACACAGTAAACTACTTATTTAGTGTGTCGCCAAATATTTTGGCGGGAGTGCATTGGGAATCAAACTATGGCTAAAATAACGAGTTTGAGAAAAAATGCAGACACGTGTCGCGGATCAAAGTTTGAGTAGTACTGATCCAACTTAACACACCCTCCCACCCTCATATCCTCTGAGCTAAACTCTATTTTTCTGTTTATCATCTTTCTAGTGACAAACTATTCCTCATCCGATGCATTAATGCAAGTGTCAAGTGCTCAAGCTCCAAACGAGCTACTAAGTTTCATCGAAAAGCAAGAAAATTACATCGAACAGCTTGAAAAGGAATCGAATTTCTGTCGTGTAAGTATGGATTAAAAATAATCAATTTAATTGCACCACAACAAGATTAAGACAAGAACATAACAAAAGACACACAAACTCAATCTTTTCTCACCCACACAGGATGAATTGAACTCTCTTATGACAAAGGTTAAAGACGTTATTAATGAAAATGAAACATTGAGTGAACATGCAAAATATGAGCCTTCAGAACTTGATGAGTCTTTCAAGTCATCTTATTTGTCCAAGCCGTCAAAATTCACGGTAACATCGGGACCGAACATTCTATTTGAGTCACGCATTAGTGAATTGGAAGCGCAGTTAACACAAAGCACTATTGATTATAAGAAAATATCTGAAGAAAATGCAGAATTAAAGCGCAAGCGAGCAATCGGAGGCAGTGACTCACTCCTCGATAATGCATGCACCGAAGCTTACAAGAAACAAATAGAAAACTTACAGCGAGACAAAAATGCACTTGAAGATTCGGTTAAGAAACTTCAAAAACAAGTCACGGAACTAAAAGAACTAGATGTCCAAGTGTTTTCGAAATCGCAACGCAATCGCGACTTAGTCGAGCAAGCCAACTTTGAAAAAACGCAAGCTGACATTGAAATTAGAAGATTGAAGGTTGATATGAACGATTCTTCTTTATTCTTTAGTTGTTGTTGTTGTTTGTGGAAAGAGAATGAATGATAATAACATTCAGACATAATTACTAAACCTATATTTTGGCCCTAATCGATAAACAATTTTTTCTTTTCACTTTTTTATTTCTCTTTTGTTTGTTCAACTTCATTCATTAAATGTGTATATTCATTCACTTTAGGATGAATTGGAACGTCAGCATGAAAGAATAAGAGAATTACAACACGAAACCGCAAAGCGAATTGCTGAAGAACGATCGAGAGCCGAACATCGCTACAATTATCAGGTATTTCGTTCATATTTTTGCATTTCACTTTTTAAAACGTTTACTAATTGAATCTATTTATTCGTAAAAATATTAAGGTTGACCAACTTGGAGGCGATTTAACATCACAATGGGAACAATCGTCCAAATTGCAACTGGAATTAGAACGCATGAAGCGACTCGAGTCGGATACAAAACGTGAAATCGCTTCAAAGAACAACACAATTGAAGAATTAAAGTCAGAAATCAAGTTAAAAACCACAGCTCATCTCTCCGATATGGCCCAGATTAATTCCGAGAAGCACTCATCGGAACAAGAAATTACATCATTAAGGTAAATTAGAATGTTGCTAATTTATCATGACCGATGGATAATAATTTAATTTTGAATATCCAATTAAAGAATGCAAATTGAAAGAACCGAACGTCAAGGTAAAACGGAAATATCTCGTTTGAATGCTGAAAATAGTTCCCTTCGTCAGCGCATTGATAGAGCAGATGCTGATTTGTTGCATTCACGTCGTGAAAATTTGCGATTGTGCGATCAAATATCAAACTTGGAGAAGGAGGTAATGCATTGCATGATTTGCGGTAATAACTTTTCAATTTATTCTGTCGATTTCAATTTCAGATTGCTCTTGGAAACATTGACAAGGATCATCGTCCGAAGGATGTTAAAACTGTTATAACTGAAATGGAGGAAAAGCACAGTAAGTTGTAAAATCGTTTTTAGTTCTGCATAATCCCAAAAAATGTAATTTACAGCAAATACAGTTCATGAGCTTGAGAGCATGATTTCAGAACAAAGACAACTCATGGAAAAATTGACCGATCAATGTAAAAATTTGACACAGAAGCTGGAGGACACATCATCAAAGCATAAGTAAATCAATTCTTTATTCTTCATATTATATTAAAATGTCTATTTCTATGCATAACTTAAATATGTTTTTATGTGTGTGATATTTGCTTCTGGAAGCTTTGTTTGCTCGACTGCACATTTTTGTTTTAATGCTAGCAAATAACCGTGTGAATTTTTATTTTTGGTAGCTTTACATTAATTTTTGAGTGGAAACAAATCCCATTATAAATATGGCACTTGTATTATTTAATTTTGATTCAAATTCAATTGAAAAAAAAAGTCTGCAAGGCTTTATTTGTAAAATAAGATTTTCTTTCTCTGTCTCTTTCGACTCAATACCATCATTGTGCTTATCATCAATACAAAAAAAAATAAAATTAATCTCAAGAAATTGCAAGAAGCACGTGAGATTTCAAGATGAAGAAGACGAAAATTTGTGTAATGTGATGCATGACTACAGTTTAGGAAATATTGTGAAGAATGCAAAGATCCGGAAAGTTGAGGGAAAATCTCCGACAGAATTTGATCACTTTCATGTTGGTGGAACGACCCTATGTGCTGATTATGCGAGACGTGCTTTAATTAAAGCTACACAACTAGCCACTGAATGTGATCGAGATCAGAAAAAGTGCAAATATTCTACAAATTATCCAGCACCATCGATTAAGAGTTCAAGAAGAAATTACACGCATTCAAAATGTTCCTCAATTTATGTTTAAGTTGTTTAAACATTTATTTTGATGGATCTGAGGATTATTTAATATTGGATAAAAAGCTTTTGGCGAATGAAGAACTAGTTAGTACCTTGGTGAATGCGGTGGTAAAGCAAGACTGATGTAGTGTTTATTAGGCGCAGGAACACAATTTAGAACCTTACAATAAGCCACAAGATCACTTGCTATGCCACGATGTAGAGTAGTGCACAATTTAGTAGTAAAAGCTTCCAAAAAATATTTAAGCTGCTTAAAAAAAATCTTTTTTCAGTTCCGCATTAAACCTTTTGATTTCTCTCACTGTAAATTTTTTTAGGGCAGAAAAGCAAGCACTGAGACAGACAAATCAAGAGTTGATGGAACGCCTTAAAGGTTTATGGAATTGCTACAAAGAAAAGTCACTGGATCGATTGTGTAATTCCATAAGTTCCAATTCAAGCTCAACACCACCAAATATTAATAATCTTAATAATGATTATAAGGTAGTAGAGAGTGTTAAAAACAATCTAATTGTGTGAATCTCTGTTTTTTCTTCCTTTCTCTTTTTATCTATCTCTATCTCTCTTATCCTATTTCCTGTTTTTTTTTATTGTGCTTTTTTCACCAAAAAAAAAAAAAAATCGTCAATAATGTCGCTTAGAGAGGATATAAATAATCTTCATACGAATGTTGAATTTTTAACAAATCGCATTAATTCTGCTTCAACAATTATTGCTAACAATAATGCTATGAATGAAGCTTATACTAATGAAACTGAACCAATTTCTTCTTCAATTCATTCTTCACCTCAAAATTATGACGTTAATTTAAGTGCTTCTTACATTCAACCTGAGAAATCACAATACACAGTAGTTGATGATATAAATGCAAATACTAATAATAATAATAATAATCTTGTTACCAATTATTCGAATTCCAATAATTCTTCTTATGAACCACCAACGAGCTTATCTGCTTCACAAATTGATAATAATGTGACTCCCACAAGATCGATAATTCGATCGAATTCTATAAGAAACATAAATGATGATGATATGCAACCGAATTATTATAATGAAACTATTCAGCCCAGTTCAATTTCATATGTAGAACCACAGCCAGCATCAGGTAACATTCAAGAAACAGATTTCAGTGATTGCGCCATGTCATTTCATAATTCGAGATTATTTAAAAAAAAAATTCAATATTTGTTTGACATAAAAATACTAATGTAGTATCCATCATCATTACATCACTTTTGTCATCCATTCATTCATCACATCATTGACTTTAATGCACATCCATAACAGACTAAACAATTGTTGTTCTTTTCAAATTCTATCTCTTCCTCTTTTGATAGAAAACTAAAAACTATGCACAATTGAGTAATATAATCATTTTTCTATCATAACATGTTACATGTTTAGTCAGCAACAACAACTTCCAACGAACAGATTCCGGCGAATGGAATAGAGGTCAAAGATCAACTGACAGTTTCGTCCCACCTACAAATGCAATGGAAACCTATCAACAACAGCAGCAATCAATCGACTATGGACAATTTGATTATGAAAAACGTAGAGACTCAAGACCACCATCAAGATCTGGTTCTAGGTCTGGATCAAGATCAAATTCGAGACCTTCATCTAGGCCAATTTCAAGAGCATCATCACAGCAAAGATTTTCAGAAGAACCAGAAGAATATCGCCAACCTCAAAGAAGTCTCTCAAGAAATGACTCGCAAAGATCACTCACAGATTATCAACAGCAACAAAGGCAACCAGATCCCATTATTACCACACGAATCAATGAATCTTATATGGAGCCCGAGCCCGTCGAAATCCGAAAACCAAGTGTCACATTCAAGAATGATGAATATGAACAACAGTCGCAAAATATTCAACAAATGGCTGAACAAAGAAGTCCTGTTTACACCACTTCATATCAATTGCCACAACAAACCTACCAAGAGCCCATTTATACCGATCAGTCCAATTACAGACCACAACAAGAATATGAATACACACCCACTACAACAGGATACTCGACAGGTCCTTCAACAACAGGATATTCCACAGTTCCAACAACAGGATACTCCACAATTCCTTCAACAACAGGATATTCCACAGTTCCAACGTCAGGATATGCAACAACAACTCCAACAGTCTACGAGCAGCCTCAATATGAGCCAGTCTATCAATCTCAGCAACAGTATGAGCCAGTACAGCCCGTCTACGAGTCAGAATCTCGACGACAGTCACCCGAGAAAGAAATTGCCTATCAGCAATCTTCTCGACGTCAATCTCCTGAAAATGAGTACTACGAGCAGCCAACAAGATATTCAGAATCAAGACGACAGTCACCAGAACTTGAATATCAGCCTCCAAGATCCGCATATGTCGAGCCAGAAACTCCAAGACGCTACTCACCACCAAAACGGGAATCTCCACCAAGAGAGGAAGTCGAAAATAAAGTCGTACAGCAGCGACAGCTATCTATCGAAAAAGACGACGGAAATACAAAAGCTTACTCGCAAAGGCAGCAATCTCGAGACAACTTATCACCAGAACAATTCGAAAAGCCCTCACCGCAACAACAGCCAAAAGCCACAATCCCAATCCCACTTAGTCCTCCAATCACAACGCCATCACAAAACACACTCAAAGGACCCGGAGCAAATCCCACGTCAGCGAAGCAAGTGGTCCCGTCCTCGCCAAAGCGAGGAGGAGTCGCAAGGAACTCAAAAGTCGGAATCGAACAAAAAGCGGGCCGAAACGCTATGGGGGAAGCAACTGGAGTTGGACGAAAATCTGATAACGTGCAAAAACAGCCTCCCAAGGCAGTCACTAATATTCGAGGCAAAAAATAAATTATTTTCTAGTTATGAGTCGAACATGAACAATACAACAAGCAGCAACAATAATGATGAGGACATAGAAATTCAAGATGTACTCGCGAAGCCACTGATAGCTGAAATTGTTATAAGTAGTCCAAGCCTTTTTGACGAAACGCCAACAAATTCATTATCTAGTCACTCATCGTCACCGCAAATAACAGTGCAAAAGTTATATTAGATATAAATGAAAGTTATAGATAATTAAGAATAATTTAGTAAGCCATAGTTCACATAAATATTTAGACAGAATTGAAAGAAAGTTTATCGCCTATATGATGAGAAATCAAAAATAACCACAATTTTAAGAGGATATGACGAATAAAAAATTTGAGAATTCAAGCAACAAATAGAAGTGTATTTATTCTCATCCCCTACACACACACTGACACTCTCTCGCTCTAAGCCGATACTCTCTCATTCTCAAAGTTAATGATTGTCTCTCTCGCCGGTTTCCTTTTTTTTCTGTCAGTGCATGATTGTGAGCATAAAATGTAATCTAAAGCTTACTCGAGAAAGAAAAAAAAATATACGAAGAATGAAGAGGAAGAAAACACAAAAAGTATAGTACAGGCACGAGGGAGAGATTTTGTGTATTTATTTGCAGACGCGCTACTTCCATGCGATGTGCAAATGGGACAAGAGGAAAAAAATGTATATATAGGAGTATTATAATGTCGGGTGATGATGATGAAAAAAAAAATGAAATTTGACCGTTGCTATGGTTTCAGTTTCTTGCTGTTTCCATCATCGTCGCGTTTTGCGTATTTTTTTTTTCGCCCAAGCGTTGAGATATAAACGAAAATATTATATTTTTTTCATTTCATCTCCGTGTGCTTCGCGACTTATTTTCTTTCTTTTTGTATTATTATGATTTTTTTTTCTTGCTGCTGAAACGTGCGGGCTAACATTTTTTTTTTGGTCTCAAACTTGTTCTATTCTGAATAAGAATAATCAAATGCTCTTGCTCTTTGCGAATAATGCGATGGGTTCATTCACCCTTATTTCTGCCTATCCATCCAAGTTTCATTTATTTTATTCCTTTTTGGTATCCATCTAACTTTGCGATTTCATTTAATTCCTTCTTCTTCTTCCTTTCCTGTTTAATGGATCATTATGAGCGCATTTTACAGAGATAAGTGCCAAGCATCGTTGTGAGGGAGACGCTCTTAAATGTTTTATTTTTGCATGGGTGGATGAAGAGTTCATGTGCTGTCTGCTGCATTTAAATGATTAATCAAAAGTTCTTACTAGAAATGCAATGATAGACATTAAACCTTGGGGGTAAAGTATTATTAGAATATAAAAGAATTTCTTAATCCTTAAGGGGCGATTCACAAATGATGTTCATTAAAAAGTAGGATTTACAATCGATCCCAAAGCATTCATTAAATAAATCAAGGCTTAAATTCTTCAGGTCTAGAATAAATCTACGTTTAAATATTTCAGGACTAGAATAAATCTAAGCTTAAATTTTTGAATACTAGAATAAATCTTCGTTTAAATATTTCAGAACTAGAATAAATCTAAGCTTAAATAATTCAGGACTAGAATAAATCTTCGTTTAAATATTTCAGAACTAGAATAAATCTAAGCTTAAATTTTTGAGGACTAGAATAAATCTAGACTTAAATTTTTCAAAACTAGAATAAATCAAAGTTTAAATATTTCAGGACTAGAATAAATCTAGAATTAGATTTTTGAGGACTAGAATAATCTTCGTTTAAATATTTCAGGACTTGAATAAATCTAGACTTAAATTTTGAAGGACTAGAATTAATTAAGGCTTAAATTCTTCAGGACTAGAATAAATCTAGACTTAAATTCTTCAGGACTAGAATAAATCAAAGTTTAAATATTTGAGGACTAGAATAAATCTAGACTTAAATTCTTCAGGACTAGAATAAATCTTCGTTTAAATATTTCAGAACTAGAATAAATCTAAGCTTAAATTTTTGAGGACTAGAATAAATCTAGACTTAAATTTTTCAAAACTAGAATAAATCAAAGTTTAAATATTTCAGGACTAGAATAAATCTAGAATTAGATTTTTGAGGACTAGAATAATCTTCGTTTAAATATTTCAGGACTTGAATAAATCTAGACTTAAATTTTGAAGGACTAGAATTAATTAAGGCTTAAATTCTTCAGGACTAGAATAAATCTAGACTTAAATTCTTCAGGACTAGAATAAATCAAAGTTTAAATATTTCAGGACTTGAATAAATCTAGACTTAAATTTTGAAGGACTAGAATTAATTAATGCTTAAATTTTTCAGGACTAGAATAAATCTTAGTTTAAATATTTCAAGACTAAAAAAATTTAAGCTTAAATTAAATAGTATTAAATTAAATCAAGGCTTTATATCCTACAGACTTTAAATAATGAAATCTCAGTAAATCAAATTATTTTCATGCCTACAATCAACATATCCATCATGATAAAATTGCGCTCAAGCCATATGCCGTACGGTGATTATATTCACAAGCATTCATCCCTCACAAGGACCTGGCTTCTCTCTTTTCTACGTTTTAAGATATATCTTATAGATTTTTTCAGTCTTGAATAAAAAAAAAACTTTTTTGTTGCTATTCTGCATGTAAAGAATGAAATGTGTATATATGATGTAGGATTCTCGTTTTCTCGTTCATTCATGTATAGCCGAAAAGGAATGGAAAAATCTTTTCAAATGTGATATATACATACGAACATTCATACAACAATCGTTGCTGCTCCGGATGAACGAGAAGTTATTTTTTTTTATTCTTCTTAACAAGTTTATAGGAACAGATGTTCGTTCAAGGCTTGTCAAACTGATGCGATATGGCATTACAAGCAGGCAAAGCAGCAGCAGTCGAATGCATTTGTATTAGTTCTGAGTTTCATTTCTTTTGTGTATAGGATGAAGAACACCACTCATTCCTTAAAATTTTCTACTTAATCATAAATATTGATCGCATGAAGCATTTTGCAGTCGATAGATGATGAGGGTGCCTGTTTTTTTCGTTCCTTTCTTTTCTCTTCTTTTATTTCATTTCTTTTTTTTTTCAGTACATCTCAAATATCGTCAGCATAACTCACACTCCTCACTCAAATTCACTCGACAGAATGTGTCGAGAGTTGTTGTTATAGGCATCTACTTACTTGTGCGATTCCCCTTCATACTCATTTTATTCTTCTTCTTATTCCTTTTCAATCCACCGCATCGTCGAGAAAAAAAAGAGAAAAAAAAAATGTTTTCAGCTTTCGGCTTTTACTGCCTGCCTGCGGCTTCTTATTTCCTTCTTCTTCCATTTTTTTCGTATTTTTTTCTGTATCGACGGTTCGCTCGTCGAATGTGTGTGAGTTAAGAACATTAAATTCAGTCGCAAGCTAAACGCATCTTCGGTCGGAAGCAAAAAACAAATTCGCACTCAAATTTTATTTTCATAGTAGAGGAGTGGAAAAAAAAAATAAAGTATCAAGCTATTGATAAAAGAGACTTACTAATTTTTTGTTGTAAATTAAAGTTAAGTTGATTGTGTGTTGGAAATCAACAAAAGACGGAAAGCAGCAGTCAATAAACTCGCGCTTAAAATTTATATTTTTTTGATATATATTTTCTTGCATTCTTAAAAAAAGAGGAATTAAGAAGAATAAGAATAAGTGATGAGCTCTCTCGCAGCGTTTGCAAATTTAGATGTAGACAAGCTTATACAAGATATATCCACAAGACCAGCGATATGGGATAAAAACTTTAATGGACGACAGAATAAAGGATATTTGGAGGAGTTGTGGGATGAATTAGCTCAAATTCATAATGCACCGAGTACGTATTTATACCTTTTTCCATTCCTTTTTTACATTTTCATCATTTTACATTAGTTTTTTGTTTGTGAATGTGACTCACGACAATCATTGAGCATTTTAATGGTTTCGAGAGAGTCGACTCTCAAGAGCGCACGAGAGAGAGAGCCTCAATGATTGTATCGATGACTATCGTCAATGATTGTTTACGTTCTGCTTGCAAAATAAATAACTTTTGCTGTTTCTTTTCAGAAAAAATTATCAAGGCAAAATGGAAAGGCTTAAGAGATAATTTTCGAATACAATGGAAAATGATTCCGCGAAATGAAAATGATGAGTTGATGATTGCACCCGAAGATTTTACAGGCACAAAGTGGCAGTATTACAGACCGGTATGTGTTGGTAGATATTGTTTTGTGGATACATGTGCCTATTATTTTAGTTGCTAATTACGCAGAGATAATGTGGCTTGGCGACTGTGAAGAAGTGTTTAAATTTATATTATGTTGACCACAGACCTTTGTCTAGTTCTTTTAAGTTTTCGAACTTAGGCAAATGGATTTCGTTCCTGCTTAGATACCAACGCTTGAAGGTTTAAGCTCATCTACAAAGCCAAACTTTGCTTAGCAAATTTTTGAAGGTTTATAAAAAGTCGATATGCCAAGCTCCACTTGGCAAATGTTTGAAGGTTCAAGGCTCTTTGGATAGTTCAAGCTTAAGTATTTGCCAAACATTCTTACTTTGATTCATTTTCTACTATTTTGTTTCTCACAAAATCAAATGAATAAACAGTTCAGAATGATTTTAGTTCCAAGATAAACGTGTCAATATCCCACAGTAAACTTCCTCGTTGAAATTCTCGAATTAGTAAGTCTTAGACATCTTAATATGATAAATTGGAATTCCCACCTAGCAATTAGGAAAGCAGCATTAACTCTGCATTCATTTTGTAGTGTAGGGTTTCGCTTAAATTCATTTTAACCACACACTGTTATGACTAGATCCTTTTAGATTTTCGTCAAACTGATGTATGCGTATTAGTTTAGTCAAGCCTAGTGCAACAGAACTTTAGATTTGACCAAATTAGAGATAAACTAACCTTAAACTATCCTTCATAAACCTCCTAAGCCTTAATTATGTATCGCCATAATTTTCAGTACTCATTTGTTTGTCATCGAGTTTGTGCAGCAACATCTTACTCATATACATTGTTATGTCAATACAGTATCCACAAAACTAACATAATTGTCTTTAAATTTTAGCTTTTATTCCTTGCCGATAACATGGGAAAGTCACGAAACTCCTACAATTCAGCACAAATGGATGATTCAAGTTACGAATTATTGCAATCATTTGAGCCAGCTATTGAAATTCCAAGCGATGATGAAATCGATCAAAAAGAGCAAAAGCCTGATATCTCACCAAAGTCACGTCAGAAACTCATGGATGCGATCAATAGAAGTTGTGATGAGGACTCATCCTCGCCAGTACATCATTCTAATCAAAAGTCACAAAATATGAAATTGCCACCAAAATTTCGTGCCATACCACATCATTTAAATCTTATGGATATACATAACCTGATCTCACGTTCAACAAATGGCGAAACTACAATCTCAGCTGCTCCGTTAAACCTCGCTCAACAGCACAATCAACAATCAAATCAAACATCCTCATCGTCAAATCCTGCGAATGCACATCAACATCCAAAACGTCGAAGAACTGACGAAGTAACCACAACTGGATGTGGTGCAAGCTCAAATGACGAATTTCCAAGTGAATCTGGGAATTTTCCGACTTCCTCAAATGACGATGATTATCACTTTTTGATGTCACTGCAGCCGTATTTGACACAATTCACCGGACCTCAGAAACTACGAATTCGTATGCGCATACAAAAATTGATCTTTAAGGAACTGTACAAAGATGAACTTGACGAATAATTTTACCATAAATATTACTATTATTAACTATATTAAATATAATATCTATATATATATATATATTGTGAAGATGAAGATGATTATGTACAATAAGATTTTTTTTTGTGTGAACTGAAAAAATAAATGCTTAGATTTTTGTATCAAGTGAAGAAAAAAAACACAAAAAAACTGCTGATTCCTTTCTTATTCCATTTAAATTGGAACTTTCAATTACTGCCTTCTTTTATTTTTAATTTTTTTTTGTCATATTTTTACTTTAGTTAATGTCTTCATGCAGTTTTAATATTCATTGATTTTTTTTATAAGAGGTTTGATTTGTTTCTTAGGTGTGGTTTGGGATGTAATCCTTGAAAAGATTATATTGACAAACTATACTTTTCATTTTTAATCTTTAGCTTTATGACTATCCCACCATTTTTCAAATGTTGTGTTTAGCTCTAATAATGAGCAAACATACCCAAGAAACCGTACTCAAAGGCCATTCACAAGTGATGTCAATCAGAAAATTGATTTTGAGACCCAATCACCCTTTTTGTTATTAAATATTCAAAATAAATTTTTTTCTTGTATCTTCCAACCATTAACACCCTTAATCAATAGTTCTCAAGCTAAACCATTCGTAGCTGCATAGCTACCAGTAAAGTAAGATTTGGCGCCAAAATAATTAAGTTCAAAACTACACTTAAGTTCAAAATAGTTAAGTTAATTCATTATTTTGTTTTGTGGAGTGTGCCGCGACACACAGTTTGAGAACCATTGCTATTAAATATTGAACATCATTAGTGAATGACCCTACCTCAATGTTTTTTTTCCAAATTCCAATTTAAACATTTTTTAAATTCATGTATGTAGGTGGATAGAGGATGCTTTAACAAGAAGATTCTATTGAATTTAGATTGATCTGATCAAATTTCATTCAATAATTCATTAATTCATCAAAATGTGTATTTAAAGTATGATTCTCTTATAATTTGCCATCATTCATTCACTTTCAGTAAATTTTGCTTCTAATCAGCAAGAATAAACAGCAAATCGACCCGCTTTGGTAGCATCCAAGATATAATATATTTTGTATTTATTAAAGTTATTGTTGGGATCATTTACAAATGACGTCCATCAAAAATGAAGTTTCAGACTCAATCACAACAAAAATCAGACTATTCTTAGTACCCTACCCTACTTCATAAATGATGAACGTCAAATAGTAAATAATCCTTATTGAATTTTAATCTCAAAAGCTTTTTTCTTCTCAATTCTTAAGCCAAAAAGGTAAAAAAAAAGGTTTTATTTCCAGTAAGAAAATATTTTTTTCAATTTAATTTATATTTTTCAATATTTCTTTTCATTAAAACATGAATATGAACGATTGTAAGTTTATTTAATTTTTAATTCTTTAAAATCTATTAATCACAAAGTGTGCAACGTCTGGGTTTTAATAATTTGAATCTTAAAATTTTATAATTTCTTCAAATTAATATTTAAACGGGTTTTCAAATTCAAATTTTAACAGGTTTTTCAAAAATTAAAGCAAATTAAAGGTTATAATTGTTTACTACACAAAAAAGTGTGACTGAATAATTTTACTGCTTTAATTAACAACTTTTATGCATCCATAATCCTAAAAACAGCTATCTATCCTATAAAAATATTGCATATATGTTCTCATCAGGTTTAGTTTGATAATTAGAGTATCTTTTACATACATCAATATATGGAAATTGTTAGTACCCATAAGTAGTTATTGAATTGTTTCTAACACCAAATTTTAACAATATTATCCTTACAATCTGCATCTTAATGATAACTACAATACTATATTATTATGTTGTTTGAAGAAAGGAGACTCTCATGTGGACTGAAATTTGAGTGATGGCATGAAGCTTCTGCTCACGTTGCACACTTTGTGATGAAATGATAAAGTTTTTTTTTCCAGAAATATTTTACAATTTTTTTAAATTATTTTATTATTTTTTTCAAATATGTATAGGAAAACTATTAACACTTTTTTTTTTCTGTTACTAGTAAACTATACATTTAATCAATATAAAGCATGTCAATTTTTATTCTACTGACAAATAGTTTATAACTCAAATTCTTTTTTTTTCTCTCAATTTTACCAATCAATGCAAAAGATTTTAATTAATATTTATTTTTTGGGAGGATATAGGAAGAAGAAAGGACAATAAACAAGGATTAAAGCAAAAACAAAGTAAAATTTTTAAATGCAAATTGATTTAATAAAATTGAAATTTCAAAGCTAAGTGTGAACATATCTTTTAAGTTGCACTTTTGTCATCATCAGCAATTAAAATTAAAATTTATAAAAATGATTGATGACTGAAATATATCACTATAATTAAGACAATTTTCTATTTGTTTTATAAATCCTTTTTAATTGTTAATTAAGCTCCATTGCGAGGAAATTTAAGTATCCATAACGTGTTATAAGCAATATAAAATGCGATTCGTTTCTATTTTAACATAAAACATCACTTAATCGGAATCGCATACAAAATCTTAAATTTGAAAAAAATTATAATTTTTTTGGTCAATACTTTAGAGTAAAAAAAAAAATTGGGAAGAAGAAAAAAATCATAAAAAGGTTTGGGGAATAAAAAATGAAGTTAATGAAAAGTTAAAAAATATTTCGAATACAATTGTAAGTTCCTTAAAAATAGTAACAAAATTCTCCTCTTCTCTCGATATTTCCTTACTTCACGATCTTAAGTTTTTAGATTCGATACTTTTTTTTATGCTTTACCATTTACCAACATTTTCATATTTGCTGGGTGTTTTTGACCATCATCAATTATCAAGTCTATAAAATTAGAAAAAAATTTAGATGACATATGACAACTAAAAAACAAATAAAAGGAATAAAGAAAATTAGACGACAAAACAATTCATGATGAAAAGAACATTCACGTGCGTGTAAAGATGTTCCACATATAGTTAAGGTGTACCAAATTATTTGATTATTGTGGCAAAAACATACTGAATAATGGGAATTTGACTAAGAAGCGTGAGCTACAACTTAAAATAGTATGTTATGATGTATCTAGCAATTAGATTTCCAATATACTTTAAATGATAAGGAACAACATCAGTGTTGTCCAAACTTTTAAGCCATCTCAGCGGTAAGTCATGACCAAAGTTGCACACAGCATGCGGCTCGCATAGTTTGGACAGCACTGCTTTAGAAACATCCTAGTCTAATACTAATGCATAATATTGAAAAATTCGATTCATTTCCAATTAAATAATAAAATAAAAATAGTATTTGAGATGCGCGAGCTATTAACTAAGAAATCAGAATATTGATTATTTTTAGCACACAAGTGTCTATGATTGGCTTTCTGAATTACTTTAAATCTTGATTTTTTTTCCTTCTAATAAAAATGTGTATGTGTGAACAATATTTCTTATAACTTGATTTCTTTCTTATTAACACTATTAAAAAAGATTTTTTCATATCTTCATATATCTAATAAGTATTGGGGAATAAATTTAATTACTTAACTCTTCCTTAACGTTTAATATTTGATAATATACAATAAAACTATGAAATTAAGTCTGTAAATCAACTTTTTAACGCCACAACATTCAGAGATACATCAAATATTTTTTTTTTTTTTAGCGATAATTGTCGTAACTCTTTTATCACTCATCATCGGATGGGCCTGCTTTACAATCATGATCTCTTTGTAACTCACCGTGAAGTGAATAGCAGAACTTTTTCGTATTATTCCAGTCTTCTTTTAAACTTAAATTATACATTGAGTAAGAGGGCTCTCCAGTAACTTCTTTTACGATGTTCAGGAACTTAGGTAAGCTTCGCTTGAGATAATCCCCTTCGAGGGAGGTGTATGTTTCAAGCAGCATCAAGCCACGGCATCTAAAAACATTAATTTCATCTCTAATTAAGTTCATACATATTAATTAAGCATGTGATGATTTTGTCAAGGATGTGCCTATAGACAAGTTGTCTCTTTCTAACCGTTATTTGATATTTGACAACGTAATAATTTTAGAGGAACTGCTGATCAAATTAGACGTGACCAAAATTAACTCAGTCGAATTAAATTTAAAGAAAGCTAATTTAAGATCTGTTGGCGCACTTGAATAACTGATAAACAACAAAACAATAATAATAACTAACCTTGGATGACTTGGCTCTTGGTAGATATCCAATTGAAAGTATTGATTGTTAACAAGGAAGCAACGACGCTTCTTGAAAATGGTAAAATGAGCGTCGTCCTTTTGAGCCAACATATTTAAGTAATCACGTTGTGTAAGTTGCGTTTTTACTTCAATTGACTGTCCATGAACGTGTGGTCTTCGTGTTGTGTGAATGTAACTACAGAATAAATTTTTATTAGATAAGTCATTGCGTTTTTAAAATTTATGACTAATTATTGATTGTTTTTTATATATTCGCTGTATAAGCACTTGGAAATGGAAATGATAAATTACCTCCAGTGACCATTTTGTCCACGTTTTCTCAAACGTGTCTGAACACGTTGTCCACTCGTTTGGAGATAATGATGTACGACATTGAAATCTTGAAATGATGGAAATTGGATGTCGCTCAAAGGACCAGATACCAAAAATTTGAGTTTTCTTGATGTACGCAACAGACGATCGCCTGTATCGATGCTGAGCTTTTGACAAACGCACTCGATCATACGATTAACTTTTGCATCAAAATCTGTTGAATTATCAATGACATCAAAGTATGGGTGACCAATCCAAGCAGCTGCTGATTTATAGTCCAGTTCACGTGCCAAATCGACGCCTTCCGAACGACATGAATGATCCTATACGAAAAAAGGCATTAATGATGTTAATAAACTTGAAATATGATATATTGTGTAAAATTGAGCCTACTTCTGTCGAATAAAATTCCTCCGCTCCGTTGGCAGCAGATACCATATGCACAATTTGATTATAACGATTGTCTCTCATTTCGATTTCATTCCAACCGTTGGCATTCTTCATACGCTCCCACTTATCAGTATCAATGTAGGCAGACGCATCCATAACTCCACGATCGCAAATAATCTACAAAATAATCGTACGATAATAATGACTTGAATAAATTATGAATTATTTAATAAATAAGCCTTACCAAGCAATTTCTTCTGCATGACTTTGCCAATTCAAAGTAAGTGTTCTCAATCTGAATCATGGTTTTCAACAGGTTGACTTGGAAGTTATAAGCTATATAGAAGAACATGTAAGCAGATGTGAAATTGATTATTTTGTAATCATCAATCAACTAATGTTTGAAATTATCAAACATAAATATTGAATTTTATGACTTAAAATGTAGTGAATAATAAAAATGCTTAGTGTCATTTATTACTGAATGAATCTCTGATGTCAGTTATCAAGCGGCTGAAATATCAATCACAAACAAATCAATGCTCTTACATTTTATTAGCTGAGATTATGATTAAAGTTTTAAAATAATATATAATTAAGTTTAATGATGAATATCCAAAAGCTACATTACAAGCTTGTGGATGTGAAACAAATTGACAAATTTAACATGACGTGAAAATGTGAATTTTCTTAAGGGGCATCTTAAAATCAATATTTGTGAACATTTAGCTTTCTTTGTTCCAAAATTGCTAGATACTATGAGAATCAAGGCGTTATAACTTTCAAAATAATCATAGCTTTTCCCAATATGATATTTTAAAAATATTATCGAATCTAAGATCAATTTCAAATCAAAAAGATTAAATTATAATTTATCATTTCCTTCCTTTTGATCTTGATATTGTTACAGAGATTTTTCAAGATATCATCCGAAGAAGCAATAAAAATTTTGGCGCGTAAATTATTTTGTTCAAGAATTAACGCCTCGATGAAAGTTTAATATTGTAGGTTATTCTATTTACTGAAGTTTTATAGATCCCCCTTCTCCTCCTTAGATAAATTTTAATTCAAAGCATTTGATAATCACTAGTTTAAAGTGTCACATAACCTTCATCGACCTCTTGTCATTAATGAAAATTTTATTTTGTTTGAACTGTCACAAAACGCTTGCCCCCATATTTATGAACGACCCCTTCTGTACCTTAGCATCAAAGTTGAATTCAAATTGAAGAATTTTGATCAAAAATAGCGTTTTAAACATGTTATTTCCAACTAGTCTGCTCCGTTGTACTTTTCGCAAATTCTTTTTCATTAAATTTCTTTCGAACGGAATGAACAAAAAATAAAATCTCAAAAATAAACAAATGAAATATAATTAAATTGCTAGATAAACAACTTTCAAAGCTTAAATGATACAAAGATAGATATTCTCTCTCAAGGCATTCTTGTGTAATTTCTTTTATCGTTTCATTTCTCTTTCTTTTTCTTTACATTTTTAGATTTTCTCCTTGTCTAGTATTTTTTATCTACGCTTAAAAGACATTTTAAATTTTTTGTTTTTTCAAAAGCAGATAATTTGTCATTTGAAATGAGGTTTTGCTTATTAAAATGGCTTAACTCATGCTGACACTTTTATCTATAGACAGTAGACTATTGAAATATTGTGCAATATCGCCTTATTTGTTCCTTTACAGGTATTTGAAAACATTCCATTTATTTATATTGAAAAGTGCATGCTCGGTAGGATGTTGATAAAAAAAATATTCAGTGCCAAGGTTGTTTATCTGACTATTAATGGCAAAAAAAGCTCTATTTTCTCTATTTTTTCAGATTTCATATCGATTTGAGATTTATTTTAATATCGAAATGTGATGAAAGAAATTGGAATGACTTGTTTTTAGACTTTCTTATATTATTACTCCGTCCACGTGTCGATTATAGCTTATTGATTTTCAATTATCGAACGTATTTGTTGCTTTCTATCAAGTCTTAAATGATTTAGTGATATGATGAAATTATTTCTCATGACATTTAACAATTTTACAACTTAAGATGATATTGCATGCTTTCTTGCTGTTTAACTATCCATAAATTATTTGTTTTGGATACAAACTGTACAAAGCTGTTTATTTATCATTGCATCAAAGTTGCACTGCTATAAATTCTACGTAAAACAAGCAAGAGCGTAAATTTGTACTCGTGTTGTTATTTTTTCAATAAATAATATTTTAATTAAGAACGTTTTGTGTAAAAGGATTTTACAATGTTTAAATGAAGCCTTACAGATAAAATATGTTGATAGTTTATAGAAATTAGAATTGATTGTGTGCCATTTAAATGGATTGAAATGTTATTTAGAACTAGAATCAAAGATCCCTAGAAACCTAGTTATTGCCGGTTAAATCGATTGAAAATGTTTTAATTATAAAAATTGAATTGTCTGTCGGAGATCAACCAAGCAAAGATCATCTATTCGACTTGTATTACTAATGAACACATAAAAACCTGGAACATTGTCTTGTTTGAGAAAGTCCAGGTTGGTTCGATTCTATAGGAGAGCTAATCTCTGAATCATTACAATGAATTTACTGGAACCCAAAAGTTTTCGATCAATGTTCACGAAAATCCTCTGTCCACACATACATGAATTTTAAAAGAACATCTACATTATCATACCAACCATATGAATTAAACTTAATTGGCAGTTGTAACTCAAATTCTCTTGAAATAATTTATCAGAAAAAAAATTTTCAAACTTAATTGCTGACTCAAGTGAAATTGATTTATAATTTAAAACATTCAAATATTTCAAACTTTTCCATTGTCAACCAAATCGAATGTCTAGACCATGTCCAGCAAACAGATTGTGCCTTAGGAATTAAATGTTCTTAACCTATTCTCAAACTTTAAATGAGTATGTAAATCAACAACTTAATAATGATTTCAAAACACTTTGGATGGATGAGGGTTTTGGTAATTTTATGACAATTTAGGAATAGGAGGTCGAAAAGCTCAATTTTTCGTTGGATGTCAATTTTTAACAGCATTTACAACAGAAAGGGAAAATAAAATTTGTTTAGCACTTTTAATTTTATTAGCAAACTCAAATATGACGTTTGATTGCGCCATTCAACTATACTTAACAGAAAAAAGTAATAAAGTAACATTGAAGCGTGAGAAATGTAGAAAAATTCTCGTGATAAGCTTAAACGTCATCACATGCGACGTAAAAAAAGACTTCATATGATCTATAAAAAAATGGACACTTTAAAGCCCCGTGTTACATTAATTTCCTTCACGTCGTTCTGAATGACGATTTATTGATAAAGAGTGGCGATTCATAAATTTCTGTGACTTTATTGTTAAAAAGTGTTGAAATTTTTTAGCAATCAAATAAAATAAATCTGAATTTATTGTACTGTAAAGCATTGAATGGCAGAACCATGAAACGTGTTAATTTTTATTATAAAGAAAAAAAATTTTTTTTTTGATACACATTTTTTGTAATGCATTTTCATACTTAATGGTTAGTACGTACTAGTTTCTGTACAAACAAGATAAGACATCACATTTCCTGAAGCGTGTTACTTCAGTCTTACGGATCAGACAGACCAAAAACGGATTTTTGATTCTAAAAGCTCGAAAAATGCACAAAAAAAAGAAGTTAAAATGCGACAAATTAATGAGGTGGAGAACTATTATTAGAGCGTTTATTGCTCAAAAAAAATATACACAAACAGCACAGATGCTATAATGAATATTCATGAAAATGTATTTTGTAGCGTTAAAAAAATTTTGGTTGATGAAAAAAGGAAATTTTTTTTGCATTTTTCCTTGATTTTTTTTTTCATTCTTAATTGACATTGTGTACACAATCACAGTCAGAACGTCCATTTAAAACATTGCTGAAAAATGCTTCAAATTTTGACTAGAAACACAACAAAACTCACCATCATGCCGCTTTTTATTGACTTCTGCAGCAAGGCAACGAGGGCATTTTGCGTTTAAGTCAACACTGTGCACGGGTACACCATCTTTGAAGGATGTGATTTCTAATTTTTCATTGGCATTGTGTAATACTAAAATATTTTTATTTTATCACTTATTTAAAATAATAAAAGTTTAAGGCAAGATTTTTTTATACATTTTCTTTTGATCTAATTTTGCTATATATTAGCACTAATGAAAGCTTTTATTTTATGGTAAATACTTGAGCACGGTTTTAAGGGTCCATCTATTATGTGAATGAGATATACTAATTAACTTACTAGAATTTTAAACATCAAAAATAGAAAGTATGAAGTTCTTTTATGAACTTTTATAGTCATGACTATTATATTGTTACCACAATTGGATATGCAGGATATTCAGAGTAAAAAATATTAAGCAAACAGAGGTTTAGTATCAGTTACAACAGAATCACATTACTATGGTGTTGGGTGAGCAATGATTTTATGGCAAAAGCCTTAATTGCTTATTTTCAGAACTGTACGTGGTCAAGACTAGACAAAAATCATGGTTGTTTTTGAGAACCGTTAGCCAGTATTGAAAGGCCTCGTTTTCAGTAATTAATTTTATAGGAAGCAATTTTCGCACTCGAGGCTTCTCAATATTGATAATCGTATCCAACACTTTTAGATCCTAATCTTTATAAGAAATTGAAATAATTTATAAGGAACATTTAATTATAAAATCTAGGTCACCCAACTAAGTCATCGACCTGATTCTTAACCTCAGTCAATTAAATAATAGAAACTTTAATGAGAATTAAACAATCGCATGAAATTGGAAGTCATGGAATCTCGTCTCGAACTTGAAAATCATTTTTATTGCAACAACAAAATTTTTGAGAATGTTTATTCAAATGGTTGTCATCTGGAGATCGTAAAGTCTTTGGCATGTGTTTACTATCTTAGGAGTGTTTATAAAAATGATGAGACTCAATATCCAAAAGCGTTCCTGTAGTTTTATTATTATTTTTTCTGCGGCAATAAAACAAGAACAATTCTATTGTTTCTTCGTATTTGCATATTCAGTCAGAGGAGAAGAGCGATGATAATTGTTATTTGAGTATATGGAACATGAGCACGTCGAGACTTAAAAAGACAACAACCTACGTTACTATCGGGTATTTGACACGGCTGAATTTATGTCAATAAGAAAACAGCGAGATTATATTTGCAGAAAAGCAGGCAGCAATTATAAAGGAACAAAAAGAATCATTTGCTTAAAATCATTTGTCGATAATTTAAATATTTTTTTGGCAAGAAATCAGCGCTTCTTTAAAGTTTTAAAATGTTTCCTCTGTAAAATTTCACTTTTCCGGTTAGTTAATAATCATTCTAAAGAAAGAAAGAGTCACACAAAGCACGAAACTTTTTCGTATCATCTGACTCATGGTAGCCAGTCTATTTCTCTCATTTTAATAAGTTTGTAAATACATCCAATTAATTGATGTAAACAACTTAGTTTAATTTCAATTTATTAATGACAAAATTGCATGATTTATGGACGTTAACCAGATGTAATTGCTTGTCGTAAAAAGCATTGAAATATAAATTAGTTGGTAACAATAAATTAAGGATGGATTATACTGCTTAAAACGAACTGGATATACAATTATTGTACTGTAATTAACGACATTTCTTAATCAACTAAACTGCTCAGTTTTCAGTCAATATCGCTTTCGCTCAAGCATTTCTAATCTAAGGAATTCGTTGATTATTGAATTTTAAAATACTTGACGATAAAATAAAGGTCATTTTCTGAACATTGAAGCGATTATGCTTACTTTGAGGGAAAATACCGCAAAAATATTTATTTTATTTTCACATAGAATTAGATACTGCCACGTACTGTTCTATAAAGCCATTCTTATGCATATTCAATTACAATTATATGAGCTTATTAATAGGAAAAAAATTCTAGTTCATATGAATATCGATTAGCTAAGTAGTTAAGTGAAAGACTACACCGTGAATAAATCAAATTTCCCACGAGTTTTGCCAAAAAAAATCATATTTTGATATGTTTCAGGGATTCTCAACCCGTGAATTATGACACATCAGAAAGATTATGGCAAACCTAGTCAATACAGATTTAACATTTGATTTAATTTTTATCTCAATAATCTCATAGACGACTTGATATGACGCAGAGTCTAAGGATAGATTAGCTAGACGAATGTGACAGTAAATGAAGATTTGAAACTTCACAAATTAAATCTTTTATTACTTAAAATAAAACTTGTATCTATACTATAGTCATACTTTGACTATAGTCAAACCAAAACACTATCAAACCACACGAGACACAAAAAAATAGCACCGCGACACACAATTTGAGAGCAACTGATGTATTCTACCGTGTGAATGAGACATTACTTGAAAATAGGATTTTTTTGCATGACATATTTAAATCACTGACTTCCCGATGATTCAATCTTTTCTCTAGGAAATGTAAATCTCAAGCTATGATGAAACTCAAATAAAATAAATAGATCATTTCACAACATTTTAAAAAAGAATTATATATTATCATGTAAAATGGTATATTCATTCATATTTTTGCGAAATACGTAAAAAAAATTGTGTCTACGAAAGATCTTGATGAAATCTTCTCTAAAAACCGTGAAATAGACTAGAAAATTTTCATTCAAGTCAATTTTTAGACAGATGTTATCTAAATAAATTCCTGACTAGACATCATTCGTGGGTGTGCGAATTGTAAAAAGAGAGAAACTTATTAGCCAAATTTCGATATTTTCTTTTTTGTTTTAACGTGAGAATAAACTTGTAACATTCAGAAGCATGTGATCCTATACGTTCAATTAAATTTTTTTAAAGTGAAGATCGTAAAATAATCACGTATGCTTTTTTGCAATGAGAGTGTGTGGGCGATTTGTTTGTGCCTCTTTTCTTTCGATTCTTTCATTTATAGTTCACTACAATTTCACTAGTTTGGGAATTTTAATTTCTATCGATTCTCTTGAATTCTCTCAAATAAGAAAGAAGAAAATTCTCCTTCAGAAATAAGCGCGTATGATGAAACTTTTGAATAGTCTGTGGATAGACTGGCCATCGGCTTATTGCTGAATTTTTCTTGATTTTAACCGGCTCAAATCGAGACTAAAATTGGCTTTATATATTTTGTAAATATAGAAGTACTCTGAGGTTCACAAAGATTAAAATTCACTGCCTTAAAAACTGATTTTTTTTTTAAAAAAATCAGAAGTTTAATATCAAAAACCAACAATTTCCCGCCAAAAAGTTGCGCAGATAAACAGCTTTTCCATGACCAATATAAATCTTAGTTAATTTTATGTAAGCTACTATTTTTTATGGGATAAAAGATAGTATCTTGGGATATAAAAAGTAAATAACATGAAAGCATGATTGATTTGTTCGAAATAAGATTTGTTATTATGTACATTATGAGAAAAAAATCAATAATAAATAAAAAGCATTACGTTATTCCTAGAGTTAATAAATGTAAATAATAAAATTATACTCACATTCATCTGGAGTTAAATCATTGAACTTGATTCCGCCACTAATGTAAATAACAAGCATATGACTTAGAGAACGTTTAGATCATTAACCTTCTCGAAATTCCTTACCTAAGAAGCACACTCGCAGTTTCAGGAACACGATAGACCTAATAGACGTGACATTGTGATTAGTTGCTTTTTTTTCTGAGAAATGCTATCTGAAAGTATTACCTTCCATCCGAGATTTTCAAAGAAAGTACAGAGACGAGTCTGGCCAGTTGTTTTACCGCCACAAGGTCCTAAATTGACAATTAAAATTGATTAGAATGTTCAATTTTTATTTTCCAAGTCATTTTAAATTTTTAAGGGCAGTGCGAAGAGTTTTTTCTTATTAAATAAGTTCCAATTTATTGACATTTTTCTTTTTGTGCTTTTTGTCTCTTGGGTTCGATGATATTGTGGTCAAACATCATTTAGAAACAAACCCCACCTAACATCAATATTATTAATTACGCGTAATAAACAGAAACAATACTCTTTAGAAAAAGATAAGGACGTGTTTTCATTTCCGAACCAAGTGTCTGTCTTTTATGTGTAAACTACAATGTGTGTAGATTAAATAATAATATACTCATAAAAATTGGAATTTCCAGAGTAAGAGTGAATACTCATCACATTTTGTTTCAATAAGCGAGAATATTTTGAGACATTGAAATTAAAATTTTAAAAATTATGTAAGCACTATCACGAATATTTTTACGACGCAATAAGAACGATGGCATTAACATACTTTCATGACCAAAAATGGATATCACACGATATTTGATTTATTTACAAGATATCCCTCTTATCTCGATTGAAGGAGTCTATTTCTCTGGTAGTCAATATCTAATCACATTTGAAATGAACAAACTGTAGATATTGATATAATCTAATAAATTTTAATACTTTATAAATGTGATAGTAGGTCGATTTGCTAGCTACACATCAGCAAATAAAGTGCAATATAATATTAAGTAAAAATTTAAAAGCACATGGGACGAGATGTGAGCAAATTGACAATTTTTTTTTTATTTTTTCATTGTCACACAAAATAAAAACAGTTGAAAAAGAATTTAGAGAAAATTTTAATAAAGAAGCGGGGTATGTCTAAAAATAAAATGACTCAGAAACCGCGTGATTTTCATTGCGGAAAATTGTCTTAAAATTTCGCTTAATGACTTACCTCCGGTCAATACAAGTTTGTAGACACGATGTTGATCCATTAAATTATCGGTAGGTTTCATTTGAATAATTTAATAAATTGAGGTATAATCACAATAAACAAAAAATTCGATTCTTAGAATCTTGAAAATTATTTTTTCACAAACTTTTTTCAAAGAATTTTTTTTTATCGTCGCTGTTGAATTTTTTTTCTCTAATAACAAACAAAAAAAAGCTTCGTCGATGGCAATAAACTGAAAATTACACAATTGATTTCTGGATTCCAATGGTGTTAACAATCTGCACGATGGCACTTTCGGGAAATATTTATCAAATTAACTTTTTTAAATTCATTTTTTTAATTTTGGTTTGAAAAATTCACGGAGCCCAAAAAATTTGATGTATGAACTCGCTGAGAAAAAAATGTGAAATGATAATTTGTAAAGTTTTTCACACACATTTATACTGAAGGTATACATCCGACGGAAAGATGCAAAATGTTTAAATAATCAACAGTCGTTAGATTAATTCTGATGTCTACAGCTTGCTTGTTACAATTGCTAATATTTTTTCTCAATTGACATCACAAAAATGGTGCGTTTTATTGAATTTTATAGCTTAACGACATTTGTTGAATTTAAGAAACAACAGTCGTGATGATTTTTGATTTTTTCAATATTATGGTGAGATGGTGGATTTTAAAAACATTCGTACATTACTTACCAAGAATTGTCAGACTTGTCGGCACCGAATTTCTCTGAAATTATGAATGAAATGATTAATCAAATAATTTAATTGAATAAATTTAAATAAAAGCTATAATCCTAGATTATAAAAATTGCATGACACATTTAAAAAGTGACAAAAAATCAACTTTCAAATATAACAATGGAAATCAGTCTGTTCAGAAATCCTTCATCCCAGTTCAGTTCAAATATCAGCGATTCATAATATTTTTATTTTTGCTATGTGAAAATAGTATTTTACGAAACATGAAATGTGAAACATTGCAAACAGAGAGCAAGAAAAAAGTTAATTAACTTGTGCTTGAATCAATGCATAATCATTAGAGTGATTTAAGAAAATTTATAGAAAACAGAAATTGCGACTAAAAAAATTCTTTGTGAAGTTCTTTTTTTTTGAAAATTTGGCATAAAAAATTTTATAGAACAAAAAAAGGTACAAAGAAATTTCCATTTACGCATTTAGTGTTTTAAATAGCGAAAATTATAGTAATTGGATTAAATAGGATTTCTTAAGGGAGACGACAAAGGTGAGTTAACATTATAAATCCATTTTAAGAGCTTAAATATGATTGAAATAAAAAAATGGAAATACCTGAAATGGAGTGTACTGAAAAATAATCGATAATATTGCAAACTAGCTTTTTTTGCAATCAAAATCAGATGTGGAAAAAGTGAATGTCTTCCTGGCTTTAATATAATTACGTACAGATTATATTTTTTCCATTCGCTTGCATTTTTCAATCCCTACCCATGTCTCATTTCTTATGTCACTTTGGTAAAGTTTTCCAATAAGTCAGACGAATCACACCTTGCTTTATGGTAATTAATAGCGAAAAAAATAAACATTGTGCGAATAAAGAAAGATTTTTAAAAACTAATAAATTCTTGTCTCGGAAGAATCTAATGAGAGTGTACGGCTGATCAAGAGTGCATGTATATTTGCAAAGTAAACATCTCATGAAAATACAATCACAATGAAATGTTCCCTTCACTGAGCAGCTTGTAAGCTTTATAACAAAAGAAAACATATGTAAAAATCGGTGTGTACATTCTGTACAGAAGCTGAATTAATTTACGTTCTAAAAATAGAATTCCAACTGTTTCATGAATTTTTGACAATGTTCTCCCAAAAAAAGCCGGAATTGTTCATCTTTGTTCTGTGTTGCTAGTTTTTGAGGGTTTTTGTTTATCAATTTGAGGAAAGAACTTGTAATTTTATCGCAGACATTTACGATTGTTATGTCTAGCTTTTGCCGAAAAACTATCAACTCTCACAAAAGGAAAGGGGTGGTGGGGGTCTTCGATTTGAATTATAATTTTTTTTATATCTTTTAATGGTATTGAAGATTGAAATTCAGTATTTCTTAATTTAACTTATTCAGTCAAACCTAGTCCACTATACTAGTTAAAATATAACTTTTTGAAAATTTTAGTTCATCTTCAATTCTTTAAATGGCAAATATTGTTCTTCATAATAGAAACCCTGTTCTAATGGCTAGTATGCATAAAGTAAGCTTGTTACAAAGTCTCCTGACAACTTCAAACTCCACAAACAATTGAGTAATATCCATAGAATCATTAATAAATTCAGCACCATCCACAATCCCCAAAAGTATTTCTAAAAACGTAATTTAGTGGACGAACAGGAAGTGTTTTGCATGTTATCGAATGAATTTTAAACAAAAATGTTCTTTGTATCAGAATTAATCTACATAATATTTTTAATCGTTTGCCAGTATTCGCCAATAAATCTATCTAGCTTTATATTACTCAAACAAAATATTTTATCTTTCATGAAAAACAGAACTAAGATATACGATAGTAAATAAAATGATTACATGTATTTATATGAAAATTGCTTTGTTTTCATATTTGTGCTGACTGCGTATGTCTTTCGTGCAATAAAATGTGAGCACGAGATTTTATCTTTAGTAAATAAGTTCTGAAGCGCATTTCTTATTCTTTATTTTGTTAATTTTTACTAGTTTGGATAAAACTTAATGTTCATGATTCATCAACATGACTAAATATAAAGTTGATTACAGCTGGCGTTTTTTGATGGATTATATGAAGCACTGTGGAAAAGCGATTAGCTTTCGTGAGATTAATTAAATTTAATCTACTCGCATTTCAAGTTTTTTTTGGCATTTTTCTTATCTCACAACAGAATTTTGAGATTTTCCGAACAAAACTGGATTTACCAATGAATTAAATCTTTTTTAAAATCGTAAGTTGATAACGATTCACGATTAATAAGCTAGTGTAAAAAAAATTGAATGTAGAGAAATTGAACTCACTTTATTTGAATGATCACATTATGACCTATATTAAAATTATAAACATTTGCATCAGATGTGTGTGCAGTTTATTATTAAAGCTTTTTGAAAAGATCTGTTAAGTGCATGATCGAAAGGTTAAGTGGTTTTAATTTAAATGTGTATAGAGGTTCCAATGAGTGATAATATAATTAAATTACCGGTTCGAAATACGCTACATTTGTTAAGATAATAAAACAAAATTTTAAATGACTTAAGTTTAAGATTGATCTAAGAAATTGACACTACGCCATGCCAAACCCACCAAATCCCAAACTGTTGACACTCTAATCTATTAAAAGAAGTCATTAGATTTATTGACACTCAAAGATAACAAAAAAAAATTCTCAGATTCATTTATCTATCGAGGAACTATACAGATAACTATGAAGTTCAATGAATTCAAGGTTTTCCTTTTACTTATCATTGATATAATTCCAACAGACTGCCACTATTTTCAATAGAGTTGTCTGTACTTCGTCGAGTGAAAACGCGATCTTAAATTTTCACAATATTGAGGTAAACACAATATATATAGTTTGAGGAACAAATTAAAGGACTCAATATTGATTCGGTGCGAGAACCTTATTTATTATTTGCAGAAATTATTTTCACCAGAAAATTGGGCATGAAATTGTAATAATTGTAATGTAGCTACGGATATATATCATATAATATTGTCATTGTTATCGTGAACTGTCATCAGAATTCAATTGAAATTACTCTTTGGTATGCAATATTACGGAAATTTTGTTTATATTCTATAAATAAGTAGTTTGAAGTGGCATTTGAAAGTGAAAAAAAAAATATTATCATTCAAAGACGAGCCGCTGTGTGCAACGCACGATTTTTTTTCCTGTATATTTTTATCACTCTCTATCATATAATGATTCTATTTTTATCTCTGCTGCCTTATTCACACCAACAAATATTGTTTATTCGAGTCATATTTGATGCGAGAAGAAATATTTTTGAAACTCATGAGAGCAAAGCACGTGCATACTGCTATTTGACCTTGAGAGGTTCTTCTAAATGTAACAGATTGTAGATTCACTATCGTAAATTAAATTAAACAAGCTGATAAGAATCTTAAAATATCGCTACAATAATCGTGAATCATTCTCAAGTAGAGCCGCTACTTAACAAATTTGTTTACATCTGGCTGCTTGCTTAACAAATTTCAGTCTTGCAAGTCTTATTTATTAGTTTCGCAAATTTGCATTAGTCACCTGATATAAAGTAAATATACATGTTGATATATTTTTATTATACTATTATTAGCTCCTGCATTTGTGTCTGCTTGCTCAACGTTGCGTCTTGTATTGATTTTCTATTTTTATTTTCCCTTTGACAATAGAGTATCAATAGCATATTGACTTAATTCCAATTTCTATTGCCTGTCACAACTTGCAATGACATGAATCGGGGGATGATTCTCTAATGATGTCTGGAAATTCAAATGTTCGCTCTTTAGGTAGTAGAAGTGTGGGGGGTCTAGGATTTTGTAGCAAATTTTCATCAAATAATGTGGGAGCCTCCCCCCTCCCCCTTGATGGCATTTGAGATAAAGAGTTTGACCCTTTTTTTGGTTTTCACTTGAAGTGATACCTCAAAGATGGTAGGATTTTTAATGAAGACATCATAAGTAACCAAACCCCTTAAGTAAATCACAGAAAATAATATTCATACAATGGTACCATGAGCACAAAAAAATATTTAAGCATAACTTTTTATTTTTTTTTGCAGTCTTGATGACGTGAGTTATTTCGTGCAGAACTAGCATTAAATATATCAACTTTATTCCTTTCAATTTAATCGCTATCCGCCTATAATTTTGTTATTATAGCATTGAACCCAAACACAAAATAACACATTTGGAGTGAAATTCTTTCGGCAATGCCTGCACATTCGTGCTTAAAGGAAAGTTTAAAAATACTTTAGCGTATTTCTTTCGAACTAAAATGATTTTTTATGCATCAACTTAATGGGAAAAGAAAAAAAAGTTCATTCATAAAAGCATAAAAGCATTCCCCGCAAGAGGTCAAAAATCATTTAATTCCGTTTATGCTTCACATTACATACAGCGAAGAATATGAAAGCATGAATGAAGGAAAAAAAAATCGATAGTAGAAAAAATGGCAAGCTTAACATGACGTGAGAGAAAAAAATTTTAAGTATGAATGAAATTGCTCATATTTACGTACACACATCCATATGTTTTATATTTTTGTTGTTGTTCAAGCATCGAGTTCTGATCATTATTCTTTTCGCAAAGAAATTGTGTCAAAATTTAAATTTAGATTTACATGATTTAGGCGAGTAAGATAAACAAATGGGCCTTATTTATTGACTATATACAAAGCTATATCTTAATGTCTAGAGTTCTCCATACTCTAAGATATATCTTAAAATTTGGAAGGGTGAGAGGGAGATTAGAGAAGGACTTTAAGGATCCATGTTAGTGTTTCTGAAGCTTTTCTAATAATGACACACTAAAGAGACATCGAGCATAGTATGAGCAGCACTGTTCGAGGATATATCAATCTATAATTTTGTGTATACCGAGAAAATAGGCCAAGCGTGATACTCCAAAAAAATGCTATCACAAAATTGACTTAATAAACAACATAACAAGGATAGACAGGAATGAACTGCGTCATTTTCTCTGCTGCATGCGAATTAAACTTTTTTTATGTATGTAAATCAAGAAAAATAAACTTTTGATGTTAAATAAATAAATCACGAGTATCTGCTTATGTATGCTGGATGTGAACAACACTTTAAATATATTTCGTGCATGATTGTTTATTACTCATCATGTGGATATTTGAAATTAAGAAGTTCATTGCTAATATGATGATAAACAAATGAGAACAAACGTTCAGGAAGTGATTATTGTTTATTCACTTTCTGTACAGCATAAATCTTTCGTCTATAAGCAATTTGCGTCGTCATTTGTGTCATTTTGACACTAGAACGTGCTTCAGCGGATGATCATGGTAGTTTGTTATTTTGTAATAAAGTTGAATGACTTTTGGAAGAGCTATTTAGCATATCAGTGTTTATATTTAGATTCGAACAAGGAGAAAAGAATTTGCGCCGAATTTTTTTCCACAGAAAAATTTTTCTTTGATTTTCTGACCCTGATAACTATTATAATTGCTATGTACATATTTAAAAGAAGCTATAGCTTCTTACTGAGCTGAGTCTTCTGTGTATATTAATTGATTTTTTTGCGCATTACAAACATTTTGGTGCGAGTCTACATTTTTTGCGTGTTGATTTACTTCATGGGGAATTTATATCTTTTAAGACGATTTATGGTTTAAACTACATGATCTTTAATGGTTAATATCTCTAATTAGGGGTTGTTCGTATATTTTGTAGCACTTAAGCGAAAGGATTACAAAATATGCGTATGAGCCTTTAAAGAATCGAATCTCTTTCAATTTTCAGAATTTGAAAGAACAAACGGCAATGTTAAAATGGACAACGAGCAACCTCATCAAGAACTGGTAAAATGTGTATTGGTTGGTGACACAGCAGTAGGAAAAACAAGACTAATTTGTGCACGAGCATGTAATAAACATGTCTCATTATCGCAACTGTTGACGACTCATGTGCCGACTGTATGGGCGATTGATCAGTATCGCATCTACAAAGATGTTTTAGAAAGGTCTTGGGAAGTTGTCGATTCCGTTAATGTGTCACTTAGATTGTGGGATACTTTCGGTAAGTGTGTTAATACTTTTTTATTGCTAATATTTAACTTGATTATTTCTCAAAAAACAAAAGGTGATCACGAAAAGGATAGAAGATTTGCATACGGACGTTCAGATGTTGTTCTACTTTGTTTCTCCATAGCCAGTCGAGTTTCATTAAGAAACTGCCGTCTTATGTGGTACAATGAGATTCGACGATTTTGTCCTCAAACTCCAGTTATTCTTGTTGGATGTAAAAATGATCTGCGATATATGTACCGTGATGAAACTTATCTGTCATATTTTGGAGACCGTAGTCCATTCGTTCGAGCCGCAAGAAAAACTGATCTCGTTTATCCCGACGAAGCACGTGCAGTTGCAAAGGAACTAGGAATACAGTACTATGAATCCAGTGTTTTGACATATTTTGGAGTTAATGAAGTGTTTGAAAATGCTATTAGAGCTGCACTTATTAACAGACGTCGTGAAAGATTTTGGATGACCAATTTGAAGCGTGTACAGAGACCATTTTTGCAGGCACCTTTTCGTCCTCCAAAACCAGCTACTCCAGAGGTTTCAGTTCTTACTGGAAACTATTCCAAAGATATGCTTAATATGTTCCACTCACAATGCTATACTGATCTCGTTTTGGTTGCCGGAAACATTCGTTTTGCTGTACATAGATTTATGCTTGCAAGTTCTTCCAATGCATTTCAAAGGTAATTTTGTACTGATTTCTGAGAATTTCTTTTATAATTGTAATTATTACTAATTACAGATTGCTTAATATGGACTTCTCAGCTGATTTATGTGCAAGAAGTTCCAGTGAATCTAGTATGGTAAGCTCCACATTTGGTGAGTCAACGACAGCTGATTTCAATGACGACACCGAGTTTTTAATAAGAACTGAACAGAAGCAGGCTTCAAATAGGTTAATTGGCTACAAATTAGTTATTTTAATTTCTTATTGATATATTTTCCATATTTAGAATGTGGGAGCAATTAAAGAGACGATCAAGCTATCAAGCTCTGCCAACATTTGAGTCGAAAAAGGATATATCTCGTGATTTGCACCATCCAATTTTCCAGCATATTCGAATTGTTTATGTAAGTCATTAATTCACGCAATTTACGCTGGAATTAATTTTATTATTTCTGTCTAGATGGACGAGGAACGTAATAGTATTACCCAAACACAAACAATTGTAACATTAAGTAAATTAGTAACCGCAAAAGCAATGCAACAATGTCTTATGTTTATTTATACGGGTACCATCGATAAAGAATATTTGGAGTTACAGGTAAGTCAATTATCTTTCATTATCTCAGCTGATAACTTAATTTCGCCAGAAAATAAAAATTATTATAATTTCTTAAGAAGTCAGCATCATTAAGTATTCAACGACTTTTTCATGATTAATTGGACAGCGGTTAATTAGACGAAAAATAATTTCATTAAAAAATCATTTTAAACATAATGACAAATTTTCACATTCTTTTTATGTCGTTTGCTCATCAACAAGTTGTTGAAAATTGTCAAACATGCTTCTCGTGTCGTTTATCATCTTTTTTTATTGCTTTTCCAATCCCCAATCATTATTTTTCTTTTGCTACTTATGATTTTCAAATTTTATATTCTTCTTAAATCAAACAGACCGCTTCAATAGGATCTTTACTGGTAAATGAATAAAAGAACAGAAATCAATGGTGTTTGAACAATTTTTTGTTCTCTTTCTTTTGTTTGAACTTTTTTTGATATAGATATAGTTTGATTGTTGCTATAAATTAGCTTCCTTTTCATTTTTTATTGTTATTATATGATTGAATTTATTAGTTTAGTAAATTTATTTGTAGTACTTAATTTGAATGTCATGAGCCTTATTTCGTGTCATATTTTAATACCTATGTATTTTTACTTTTTAATTTCAAGGAAGTACGTCAAGCAGCAGAACTTTTAGAATTGCCACAACTTATGGTTCTCTTATCAAATACACAATCAAATGAAAGTTTCATGAATGACGAAACAATTCAGCATTATTCTGTGGTAAGGTTTATATTTTTAACGACTTTTTGAAAATTCAAAAATGAACTGAACGAAATTGAACTAAAGTTTACTGAACAGTTTTCAAAAACTTAAATTCCGTTATATTTCTCAGCAACTAGATTACAATTAACTTTCAATCCCACATTCCTTCACAGTACATGAAACAAAATCTTGAAAAGCAATCGATAGATAACGGCATGTTTGCTGACATCACATTCGAATTGGACGATGGAAAGATGAAAGCTCACAGATCAATGCTTGTGGCTCGTTGTGAAGTAATGCGAGCAATGTTTTCGGGAAATTTTGCAGAATCAAATGCGCATATAATTTGTTTACCTGGCGTAACTGAATATACATTCCATAAATTACTGTGTTATTTATATACTGATGAAATTCCACCAATATCTGCCGATAAAAGTTTAAATTTACTTGAATTAGCGAATCGTTTATGTTTGCCAAGACTATTGAACTTGATTGAATGCCGCGTGATTGAGAATTTGACGAAAATATCACAGAATGAGACAATTGAGGCAATTGATTTATGTTTAAAGCTTCTTGAGCCTGTTAAAGTATGTTACTAATAATTCTTAATGAAAATTGGAGATTATTCTGATTTATTTACAGCTCCACAATGCTCATCAATTAGCTGAATGGTGTATGTCCTATTTATGTGTAAACTACAACAGCATTTGTCGACATTTACCGAAATCATTGAAGCTTTTACATGAAGAGAATCAAGATTATTTGCGCGAGAACCGATGGCCGCCAGTATGGTAAGATCATTAGCTTTAAAATCAATTTTTTTATGTTCTTTACAATTTGCTGTATCATTTTAGGTATCTGAAGGACTTTGACTACTACCAAAGATGTCAAAAGGAGCAAAAGATTGAAATGAGTTTGAATAAAAAGAACTGCCATACAGATGATAATGGTTGCTTATGTTTCTCAGGAGGTAAGCAATGAATACATTTGAGTCTGGTTAACACTCACGTAAGATATCCGTCGAATACAATGAGATTCCTCCTTGAACCAGGGACGTATTCCGAAAGGGTTTTAAATTTTAACCCCCCCCCCCCTCTTTTAAATATTTCTGGATTCGCCCCTGACCTGGACTAATGTGTATTCCAGGATATACAGTAGCGTGCAAAAGTGAGTGGACAGAACAAATTTTTTAATAATTTCGTTCAAAAAGCATCTTCCACTAATCGAAATCACTTCAAATTTTCACAGAATATCTAATTTTTGATGAGATTTTATATGCAAAACAAATTTTGTACTATAATTAAGTAATTTGAAAAAACTGTTAAATATTCAAAATCGATAACGTGCAACAGTGTGTGGACAATTTTCAAAGACAAAAAAAAAGTGTTAATAAGTATGTTATGTTAACTTTTTAAGATGGAAATCTAAAGTTTTGACGATTTTCTTAATTTAAGTTCAAAAATTTTCCACCAAAACCACGTGTTTTCTTAAATTCAAAATGGCTACTATTTTTAATGACCTTTAAGCAAATATGTCATATAATTCAATCTTAATTAAGTTGTACTTAACTGATTTATATAGTATTTTTAATAAGCTTTCAGAATATACATAGTTTATTATTATTATTATTATTATTATTTTTATAGTAAAAATTAGTTTATTATAGTAAAAGTTGATATTATGCAAAAAAATTATAGAAATATTATTTTCATTGTCGATTTTCTCACAGTCCAGAACATTAAATTGAGGAAATCTTGATAAATACTTTGCATATATAAGACTTTTTGGTATCAATTTATTGCATTTTATTTGGACAAAATTATATAAGTAATTTCAGTTTACTAAAAAAACTATCCATCAAGTAATAAGCTGTCAAATAGTTTGTCAATTGAGCTTCTCAAATAATGAAAATTAAATTTGTTTAAAATGAATATCTGTTGCAGAAAGTAATTTTTAACATAATTATGCGTTATGAATCAAAACGTTTAAAGTTTTCAAGACAGAAAGTTAATTTTGTAAAAATATATTTTTTTCACCCCCCCCCCCCTTCCCCCTTGCTACAATATGTTACAACTCACAACCCCCCCCCCCCCCCCCCCGGACGTTCATAATTTATTTTATCATTAAAAAGGTGGAAAATTTAAAAAAATGTTTTTGGTGTGAATTTGTAAACAATTTTTTTTTCGTGAACTTTTGTTTTAAAAGACGACAGTTAGAACGTTACATACTTCTTGACCCCCCCCCCCCCCCCCCCCCCATATGCTACATTTTGTTAGAATTTTTCATGCGAACGTAATAAGTGAACGGCCCCTTAGTGGAAGATACTTTTTGAACGAAATTATTAAAAAATTTGTTCTGTCCACTCACTTTCGCACGCTACTGCAGCTTATAGTAATGCACACTATAAAAACCGGACATATTAAGGGTGTATCTAGAACTTTAATTGACTAAATGCATCCTTAATACACATTGAGAGAGATTGAATGATGAAATTCGAAAGAAAAATTGCACCTTAGAAACTCATAATCACGTTGCATGACACTATCAACTTTTGTTCATTCCGATTTTTTGTTATGATTTCTTCTGTCACACAATTCCTATGATTATTGATATTTATGATTGACTGCGCATTTATCTCATTCATTATTCTATTATTTTAAACCTATCGAACCTTATTTTATGATTTCATGCATATGTAGAAAAAGTAATCCATTCATTTTCGTGATAACTCACGAAGTTTTCTTTTGGCTCACAGGTGGAAAGTCCAAAAGTCGTTCATCAGCAACAACAAAGGTTGTAACATCACAAGACAGCACGAGTCTTTTAAGTAATCCAAATTCCATTAATCAATTGGATCTTGAGGTTGCTGATCTCTGACATAGGTCAATGCACGGGCATCAATGGAGGTATATTCCATAAAAATACAGTCAACGACACAAAACAACATTTTTTTTCCATGTTAAAAATTAATTTTTGAACTTTTTTTTCTATTTTTTTCTAATGCTTTCATGGATATGTTTTTGAAAAATTTTAATACCTTTTTGTTTTGTAACTTTCTTGATCAGATCTGTACGATTTGTTGTCATTTTGCCCGTGCTTTTATGTCTTATATGCTCGATATTGAGTATTATGATAATTTTTCAAATTTACACATAATGGTAGCAGATAATTTTGCATATTAAAAAGGAAGTAAGAGGACATTAATAATTATTTTTGATATATTTGACTTATTGAATTAAATCTGTGTTTGAGGGAATTTTTGGAAGTCTGGCAACTCTCAAATAAATTGTTAAATTATTAATTTTGAATGAAAAATGTATAAATTTAAGAATTTTGAAACCAGAAAAATAAGTTTTGATTTTATTTGGTTCAAAATTTTGAAATCAAAATTTTAGTTTTAAATTCAAAATTTTCAAAAGATTTAAAAAATTATTTTTGAAAGTTGTTCCTACATTGCATTTTAATTTAAGTAAAATGGATGAGATTTGTATAGAAATTAGTTTCAGGGAATTTGAGCAATATAAGAGATTTTAAAGAAAGATAAGTGCATTTAGGACACAAAAGTGTAAAAGACGTTTGAAAAGATAAATTTTTATAAATTTAAATTTTTTTTTCTCCCTCTTTGATGACAATCCTTTAATTAAAAGGAGATTTTTGAAGCTTCTGGATGAAAATTTTGGGGCATGTAAATAGCCAAAATAAAAATGAAAGTAAATTCTAGTCAAATTTGGAATGTAAATGAAGATATTTTGGAAAAGGTTAAATAAACTATATCAACTAAACAAAAAAGTAAGCATGACGCTTCACTGGCTGAAGACGTTAAAGAAGAAAAACATTTTTTATCCGCAAATGAAACATTTAATAAAAATATTTTTAGGATCATATGATAAACGATATTGAAGCAAGGCTTAATTTCTTCGAAAACCAAAACCTCAATGCTTTTTGCTTCAATGTCTTCCTTTACTTTATCTATTGAGAAAAATTTATTTAAACAAAATCCTACATATTAAAAAAATGAGCAAAAATGAAAATTTTAACTGCCGCAATTTGTGAAGTAATAAAATTTTTATAATCCAATTGCTGAAATAATAAGTATAAAATGTAAAACATTTCCTTTTGTAATTAATTTAGAGCATGACGTTTGGATAATATTTCTATATTTTTTTCTCGCATAAAATGCATTTTGATCAAATGTCAGTCTCTACTTTAATTGTGCTATTTCTACGTATATGTAGTTCCACAAAAAACAATGATAAGAAATGCTTGATATAAAAAAAATTTGTAGAATCTTGATTAGTGCCGAGACTTGTAATCAGCAAAATGCAACCGTATAAATTAATAAAATGAAAAAAGCTCAGCTTTTGTAATTAAATCTGGAACCAATAGATATTTTATTCCTTGCTTTTCAGGATCTAATGCTTCATTTGAACTGGATGTCGAATGAGTATAGCACACGTTTTAGGACAAATAATTCAAACTGGATGTTTTAATTACAGGTGAACTATGAATTTTGTATATCAAGATATGTCTTAGAAACTGTAAATCATTCTTGTGTATCAATTTACGATATTAAGCACAAAAGATCCAACAACTATCTTTAAATCCATAAAATGCAATTTGACAGATTTAAATAATTAAGATTACATACGTTTATATCTGAACTGAACAGAACGATCATTTATGATTAACTAGAGGCTTAATGCCTTCCTATTTCTTCTCATATTCTTAAAAGTTTAACTTTGCAATAAAAATTTTAAACTCACCTTTATTCTTTTAAATATCCAATTAGCTTGATGATCACTGATGTTAAACAAAAGCTTACTGCGCAAGTACAACAATGTTGTCTTGATTTATTGTCTTATTCTTTTAATTCCACATTATTCAAGTTTTTTAAGTCAAACAAATCAAAACATAAATTCCACAAAACTTAAAGGTACACAAGAAAAACAAAATACACAAGAATATTACGGGATATTATGACCAAATTAGCCGAAACGCTTGTGTCGCTCAAAATATCAGTTGATTTGATAATTAAACATGATTTTCCAAAGCTAAAGGATCTAGAGCTTGTTAAGCAATACAGTTCATTCTTGATAGCTGCAAATGCACTGTTGTCAAAGTCAAAAGGATTAGAAACACTGTCAATAAGCAGCAGATGAAGTGACATAAAATCACATGTGAAGAGCTTTTTGATGTAAAATGAAAGGGGCCGTTCACTTATTACGTTCGCATTTTAGGGGGGAGGGGGTGTTTGAAAATTTGTAACAAAATGTAACATAAGGGGGGGGGGGGGGGGGGGTGTCAAGAAGTATGTAACGTTCCAACTGTCGTCTGTGTTTTAAAAAAAAGTTCACGAAAATTCACACCGAAAACATTTTTTTAAATTTTCCACCTTTTTAATGATAAAATAAATTATGAACGTTCAGGTTGTGAGTTGTAACATATTGTAGCAAAGGGGGAGGGGGGGGGGGTTGTAAACTTTAGCTTCATGAATTTACACCTTCAAGATTTGCTGATTTAGAACAAAACCTGAATTTCTTAAGTGTGCATAAATCAACATTAAAAGTCACTAAAAGTTCATTTTCATCAGATTACGTGACCTTCTTACTATCAGATTTTCCTCAATTACACACATTAACAATCAAATGCAGTGGATATTGAAAGGATTTTCCTATCTTTCCATATAATACAACTATAACAACAATTAAAGCTAAACATTTTGTCGTATCAAATTCAATCATGTGGATGTGGCCCACATACAATTGAGATTATTAAAAAGCTCCAAAAGCTTCATAATATATAGAAATCGGATACATAAATTCTGATATATTAGACGCAATATTCAGTTGTCGATTACTAAAACCGTTAAATATCATGAAATATGTGTCACACAACAAGATCGTGATCAAATGGAATTACACGAAAATATTGAATTCATCGCATTATAAGCAAATTATTTTGATATTTTGAATCATCTTATGTGATAAAGCCATTAATATGAATAAGTAGCTTAATTGCTTTTATTCATTTAATTAAAATCTTAACTGTTTTTAAAATTTGAAATGTGATTGAAAACCTTACAAGAGTTTAACTAGAAATTATATGGTTTTATAACCGTTATTTTTGAATTTCATATTATTTCTTTTTTTAAGTCAAATAATTTTGTGAATTTTCTAATCGAAAAATTAATTAAAACTAGTGATTTAGCTTAATTTTAAAGCTTTTATTTTGTCTTTATTGATATTTAAATATGAAGGTAGCTATTCAGAATCAATTTTACCTCGTTAAGTGAGATATTATTTGTTTTTTTAACATCCAGAATAAATTTGATCCATTCAAAATATTTCCCGAGGAAATTTGTGACGAAATCTTAGCATACTTAAATGTCGAAAATATTAAGGAAGCTTCATTGGTGTCCAAACACTGGTACAACATGATTGGAAGATCAAAGTCGTGCATGTATAAGCTATGCTTAAAACCGACAGAAAGTTATCGAAATCATGAATTTTTTATGAGCATATTGAACAGCACTCGAATGTATCAGAACATGGAAATGTTTGATCGTTTCAACAAAGTCATGAGCAACACTAAATATCTACGTTTGATGCGTGAAGTTGTTGCCAAACTAGCTTCAACGCTTGTTTCACTCAAATTATCGAACGATTTAATAATTAAAGTGGATTTGCCAAAATTAAAGGAACTAGAATTTGATGCCTACAATTATAGTACTTTGATAGCTGCAAATGGACTGCTTACAAAAGCAAAAGGACTTGAGAAATTAACAGTTAATTGCTGGAATATTGATAAAAAGTCATTAAAATATTTAAGGAACTTTTTGGTGGAAAATGACAGCCTGAAGATGCTGAAAAATTATGACAATCGACTATTTCATGGATTAAACTCTAGTAATGTAAAATTTAGACTCCAGGAATTTTTTACGGGTTTTAAAATTCCACTACCCTTTGAATTTTTCAAAGTGCATTCGGACAGCTTAAAAATCACGAAAAGTACACCTACCAGAGACTCAATAACTTTCTTCATGACGAACTTCTCTCAACTTCATACGCTGATCATAAAAGGATTTTGGAATCATAACGAATCCTTTGATATTCCATTCAACACAACTATACGTAAATTGAAGTTTGACGTATTCTCTTATTTTCTTCAAAACAGTAATCTGAATACTCTCATTATTGAATTAATTAAAAAGGTTCAAAACTTGGAAGAAATTGAACTTGATTTCATTAACTCACAAATACTTCGTGCATTGATAAACTGTCGAACGCTCAAGACAGTTAAATTTCGTACAGATAATCTCACAAGACAAGACCATGACGAGATGCAAATACACGAAAATATTAACTTTGTCTTATTTTAAGCAGATTTAATGTGTAATTTCCTGAGAAGAATTTGGAACTGCTGCTATTTATTATGCTTTAAAACTATATGTTTTGTTTCTTTTTTGTTAAGGAGCTTTATGTTTTGCTACTTTAAAAGCTTTTTATTTACTATAAATATAATATGTTATGTGTTTTTTGAAAACAGGTAAATCCTAATAAAATTAATCCGTTAAACGCATTTTTAATGGATTTCTTTTTGAATTTTAATGCGAATTTTCTCCCAGCCTTCAACGAACGAGGTTGTGGAATTATCAATTCTCCAAATTTAATTATTTATGCGTAGGAATCAGACATCAAAAAAAGTTCAAAATGTATATAAGGAACCGAGGAACAGATGAACAAAAGAGAAAACTCGAAAAAGGAGCGATTTAATGTAAAATTTCGAGAAATATTGAAAATGAGAAAAAATTACAAAATTTTGCACATAACCTAGATAGAATAGTATTGGACATAATCAGAATATCACAGAGCATTTTATTACACTGACGGTCCATTATCGGCGGTAGTTGTGAAAAGAATTCATTGTTTCATGTGAGCTTTTTGTGTTTTCGCAATAATTGTGGACAAGAAGCTTGTCAATCAATTGTAGTCGATTAGATTTTCACCAGTGCCATATTATAATCTAGACAAAACAAAAAGTTGGAATACGACACAAGTTGATTTGCATGAAGGACTGTCGAGGGATCTACATCATCAGCATTTGAAGTTTTGGTTCAACTTTAAATCTACGGATTTATTTTCAACCCTCGGATTTATCTATAAATTTTGAATTCAAGGCTTTGACAGTTGAATATTTGCTGAAAAGAAACCATTATAAGTTTAATAAACACAAGATTTTTTTTTTAAATATTTTTATTCTTTTTTTATTTAATTTTTCTATTGTATTTTTCATAATTCCAGCCATTTTTTTTTTACTTTTCTGTGTTGTTTTTCATCATTTCATTCATTTTCTTAGACATCATTACTTATGTTTAGTTTATATTTTTATTTTCAATTAATTAATAGTACTTAATTTACTTTTTTTCCATCATTCACTTTCATTCTGCTTTCTTTTTATCATCAATTTGATTTGCATGCGGTGTGTATGAATCAAACTTATTTAACTGCAATTACAAATATTTTTTTCATATCTCTTTTTAATATGAATTTTTTTTTTCTCAGTGTTTATAAACGACGATCAAATTTTTTTTATTTATTTTCCATTTCTTAAATTTTTCCATGAAATCATTTTATGATGATTTTATTTTCTGTTGTTTTATTTTGAATAGTTTTTAAAATCATCATAAAGTGAAAGCCATGCTCCTTTTTTTCTTCTTTAAACTGGAATCGTTTAGTTAAATAAAAAAATTTCAACTTTCATGAGTTTTTTTTTTGTTTTTTTTTTGGGAAAAGTACACATTCTTTACACATAAAGGACTAAAATTGGTAAAAAGTTTTTTTTTTATCTCATTATAATTATGCATGTTCTATGAAGATTTTTACATTTAAAAAATTGTTCATTATGTTTCCTTAATTTCTTCGAACTTCTATCATTATATGAATGTTTTTTTACTTCTTAATGGGATTTCATTAGTTTTTTTTGTATGTAAATGTTTTTAAAGTTTTCTTTGCGATTTTGGATACATTTTTTGACTGAAGTTCAATTATCTTATCATTATTATCTCTTAAATGAAGAATTCGCAGCTGACATGAATTGAATGACTTTTTGACTCATCCTCAACTGTCTCATTATCTACTTATTGTCTTATTGATCTTATGACAAAATTATTTAATGAAGGAACTTTTCAGAAAATCAATAATCAATCGACAGATTGTGAGAATAATTGAGAATTTGTTCAAGATCCTTCAAGACTTTTTTGCAAGGTTTGGACACATTTAGTCATTCAAATAATCTGCAAACATTTCAACTTTGGTTCCCCAAATGTTAAATTTTCAGCCTTATAACTTGAAAAAACCAAAGCGTCCATCCCTTGACTCTCGTTTCACATCTGGTGACGATTCTCATAAAGATTGCAGCTTAAAGCACGAACGCCTCACAACTTGACGCTTTCAATTGGCTCTTTCAAAAGCACAAGCTTTAGTTGCTCTCGATTTGATGGCATTTTTCAAGAGAACTTGTGAGGACATCCATAAATTTTGACACAATCGGAGATGAGAATCGACAGCTTTTGTGTCTTCAATCTTTCAATTTTAATCTCATTTTTTTAATAGCTTTATGCTTCTTCCAATAGATTCTCATTTTTTAATCATATTTATCGCATTTATTTACAAAATACATTTAAATGCAAAACCGTTCTTTTATGTATGGATTTTTTTTTATAATTTTTTGTTTTTTAAATTCTAAATGAATATTTAGTTTAAATTTTTTAAGTTTTTTTTTCACTTTATTATGCAGTTGATTCAGTTTATTTAAAAAATACTTTAATGAAATGTTTTTTTTTTACTCGTTAAGCGTCGGATGTCTTCGAAATCAATTTTGTTTATGGGTTTTAGAAATGAGATGAAAATGGTCAATAACTTCGTGGGCGATTGAAGTGAATGAACATTTTCGTGTCTGATGAAGCTGATTTGAAGACAAATGTCGCTTAAAAAATGTAGCATAGAATTTGTGGTTTTTAGAAGAAATGCTTTTTCGCCTACATTTTCTGTTAAAGTTTTAAGGATTTTCATTTTTTTTTTTTGGTTTTGACACACATTTAATTATTTTTAATATTTTTTTAATTTTCTGTGATTTTATAGAAAAATCTTTTTTTTTAATTTTAGACCCGCTTTTTTATAAATTTGACTGTAAAAGAGTTCCAAAAGAATGTCTGTCCGTTCGGAACTCTTTTACAATCAGCTTTGTTTTTGATCTTTTCGAACATCTGCATCTTTAAATTTTATGCATACTTATTAAAGCTTTTTGAATCATATCGGAATCATATCAATTGCTTCTCTCACATGACATTCAAAAAGACAGTAATAAAGGATTGGTGGCACTAAGGCAGGTTCAGGTTAGGATTAATGATATTACTTTAATCTGAGGATTTAACTTTTAATGCAACGATTGATATTGAATCAAACTGCCAAAAATCGCTAATAAACACCCAACTTAGTGCCACCAACCCAAAAAGATTATTTTTTAATGGTTTTTTGTTTTTGTTTTTCTCGCAGCAATAGATTTTAAAAGTGTTTTTAGCATTTGTGTTATGAGTTTTTAAATGGACGACGTTTCTAATGCAAGATTCCTTTTTACTCGTTTCAATTATCATTTTTTTAAGTATAAGTAGTGCAGCAAAAATAATTATAAATTAGAAGTGGACTTGTAAAAAAATTCGTATTAGCTGAATATGACTGTAAATCGCAAATGCTGTCGAAAATTGATTGGGTTTGCTAAATAATATTGGGGATTTATCAATTTCACCCCTGAATCTAATTTTTTTGAATCTGAAAATTCAATTTTTAAAAACAGATCAAGTCCGTAAATGTTATAAGCTTTAATGATTCTATTTGTCAAATGAAAGAAAGCATTAAATGAAGATTGACTTTCAATAATTCATATTTTTGGCACATAATAAAATAATTCATACATTAACTCGTTAAGAATTGAAGCTTTTAAGGAAGATGAAAGTAGAAAAATTAAAAAAATTTAGCTTTTAAGAATTTTCTTATCTTTAAGGATAATTTTTTTAAATGTCACAAACACACAGAAGCTTTTTTTGAATTCAATATTCAATTATGTTTTTCGCAGAAATTTCCAGCATTTCAAAAATGGCTAATATTTTTCATATTTTTTATTTTTCAATTAGAGCAATTCTATAGCCTTTTTTTTCATCTTGACCTTACATTCAAATGCAACTATCTAAACTAGAAAAACGACTTTCTTCCTTTAATTATTCATGTCATCAATTGTTTATCATTCGACTAGAAAGGACCTTTTTTATAAAAATTTCTCACTTCCTTCTTTCTTTTTATCTTTTTTGAAATGTGTGTGTCCAAGGTCTAACAATTCAATTTTTTGTTTTTTTTTTTGATTCCTTCATTATGATTTTTTTTATGTGTGTGAAAAAGCAAGGAAATTGGTGATTTAGTAAAAAATGTAAAAATCTATATGAAGGAATTCCAATGCAATTTTTTTTTCTTCTTATATATCTTCTCTTCTTTTTGTATAAAATTAAAAAATACCAGGAACGAATGTAGTTTGTAGTTCAAAAGAATACGATCTAATATAAATTAAAATGTTCATCCATAAAACCAAAATCATCTTTCAACTATTACATTGATGTTCTTAAGAAGTGTCTTTGTAGTAATTTCGGATGATTTGTGTATATTTGGAGGCTAGCAGCGTTTGGGAATTTGAAAGCTTCATATTAAAAATGAGATTGAATTAAGATTTATGAAATTTCTTTTTGATTTTAATTTGAAGCTTGAAACTATTTCAAAATAATTCTTTGCTTACATAGTAGAATGTGAAATGATCTTTCGAGTATCAAGATACACTCATTATAATCAGCAATATGAAGGATTTAATTAAGGAAACTGATTTATGCAACCTTAGTTGTCAACAGTTTATCTTTTGACTGAGAATGATGTGTAGATTTAAGAATTCTAATTGAATTAATTTAAATGCTCTCAACTTAAGAATTATTTAACTTTGAGGATTTCATTTCCAAGAATTCAAACTTAATAGATTAAATCTGTTATTTTATTAAAACTCAATACTAAACTTAAATTCGATGGATTTGAACTCCATCGAAAACCAACCATCGGAAAAAAAATTAAATTAAAATAATTGTTAATTTGTTTGAAATAAATATGAAAACAATTCTTAAATTTGAGGTTTTGAACATTCACATTTTCACATCTTTCCATAAGTTATACTAAAAGAAACGATTCAAAACTTACAAAAAGCCATTTTTTCAGACAGATTTTTTGTAGAAAATTCAGATTTTTTTAATCATTTCAATTTAAAATCAAATTCATCTCAATTTTGAATATTAGCAATCAAAAAGTCCCACAAAGCTGATGCACACAAACAATTTCGAAGTAAAAATCTTCTCTTTTTTATTAATAAACTAAAAATGCCGATACAAAATGATCATATGATCTCCATACTTGATTTCAACGAATGATAAATAATAATAATAGTGGCAATGCGCTGTTGAATTGTACTAAATCAGTTTTTCAGGAGAAATCTCTCAAAAAATCTGATTGATCACAATCAATCACCGAATCAACCAAATCGAAAACTAATAATAATAAATGTTAATTCTTTGTAATATCAGATAAAATTGAGAAATCTTTCAAAACATCAGAATTTCTTTAAAATCAATATATCCTTTTTCTTTATAAAACTAAGAACGAGGTTTATTTTTTTCCAATCATAAAAACAACTAAATGTATACAAAAAAAGATCAATAAGGAAATAAAACCATTACACTATCCTCATAATCAGAATTCATCGCATTACAAAATGGCAAGTCATTAGCAGTTATTTTTTTTAATAAAAAAATATAATTTAATGATTAAAACATAATTGACAAAAAATTAAAAATATACATCAACAAAAAAAAATATTGAATTAATTGCTAAGCTTTTACATACAATTCAAAAATTTGCTAGTTTTCCATTATAATTAAGCCATTAAATGTAAATGATACTCTAGAGTTGCCAGCATCGATAGTCACCAAATCTAAATGAAACCTCAAAGGAATTATTCAGTTCGCCTAGCCAAAGAAGAGCGTAAGCGTTTGATTTGAATAAAACTATAGACTTTAATACAAACAAAAAAAAAGCTACATTAATTTGTAATATTTTATAATAAATAACAACTCAGAATGAACATAAATGATTTCTCTTAGTGTTTTGTTTCATCTTAACAATAAATAGTTTTTTCATGCGGGTAATTTTTCTTTAAGAAAATTTTCCATACAACTTTATATCTTCATCTTTTTTTTTGTTTCCTCATTTTTTTTTTTTTGTGTAAATTATTCAATAGTTTATAGCAATAAGGTAATTTTTTATGTTAATTTCTTAATTATGATTTGCTTCTTCATTTCCATTGTGGAAATTGTGATTTTCCCTTTTTTTCAATTACATTTTTTTTCCTCTTTTCATTATTTATTGTTTAGTTTTTTTTTTGTTGTTTGTTGCTATCCTCAAAGGATTGAAAATAAAGGAATTTACTTTATAATAAGATAAGAGAAGAATGGAAAAAGAAAAATAAAAATTGGGGGCGGCTTCGCATCATCAACAATTGAATTGTTGTTCAAACTAAATTATATTCCTTTAAGTTTGACTGCAAGATTGTATCCTTTACCGCTGCAAATACGAATCTAATATTTTCCGTATCTAAAAAAAGGTGGAGAAAAGAATAAAATTGAAAAGTTCACATTAGTCATTGGTTCTGCATGGTTTATTGTCATTTAAATTTAAAACCATTACCTGGAAATATTTTTGACATTAAAAAAAACATAATATCGTGCATAAAGTTAGTTGACAGAAATAAAATAATATCCTTAACATGCAAAACAGAGTTCCTTAATCCTAAAGACTTTATGAACAATTTTTTAAATTCTTTTTTTTTCATAATTCTTTGAAAATTTGTCCACAACACTGATTGACAATAACGCAAATCAAATTAGTTTGTATGTATACAGCACAAATTATTGATTTAATTATAACCAAAACATTTTATTTTATTTTATTTTTTGACAAAAGAAAAACGATTAAGAACTGGATTAAACTTTTGTTCATTGGAATTTCAAGAATTAATCCAGCAAGATTAAACATTAATTCAACAAGATTAAACATAAATGATCAAAATTGAGCTCAAATCCATCAAAATCAAAATGAAATCCAGAAGTTAAGCAAAAAAAAAAACATTTTAAGCCAAATTAAATTCTTTTAAAGCATTTTGCATAATGGTGTCTTTTACGGCACAGAAAACCAATTTTATGTTTTCAGTATCTTGTTAGTCATTAAGCATGCATAAAAGACAGAAAATAAATAAATAAAATATTAGTAAAATAAAAGAAAAAGTAATGCTGACAAAAGCGAAAATCAACACAAAGAAATACTTTAGAGGCTTGTAATAGGAACTAATAACACATAAACGCTTAATATTAGAAACTAATCCAATAAACAATCCAAAAGGTTGAAGCACTATACCTGTAGCGCATGTAAAATGTGAATAAATAATTTTTTCTGAATCAGGATTCAAATCTACAAACATTCGTAAGATAAATTCTCTAGCTGCTATGGCATCTCTCTGTGGTCCTGTTGATATTAAAAAAGTAATATAAATTGCATTAATTCTAGCACTACTTTGTGGGCAGCATAAGGTTAGTGTAAATGTGTAATCAATGTAGCTTAACAGCAACAATCCATATGAAAATATTGACGATTCTCAAAATACTGAATGATAGGGATTTGATATTGAAACCGGAAATCAATGATTTAAAGCTACGACAAGTTATTTATAGCATCTACTATATTTGAAAGGATTCTTTTAATTCAATTAAAGATTTACTCAATAAGGCTTCAAAACTAATCCAAATTTATGGCTCAATACTTTTGGAGTCATTAAAAAATTACGTCCATGACAAAAATATTTTACAGCTGAATGACTCTCTAGCGATCGACTCCAAAATAATCAAAATGAAAAATTAAGTATCAACCTGTAGCTGTAGTGAAATGAGAATAACATTGTCGATCTTTGTCTGGATTTTGTTTCAAATACATTTGTAAGACATATTCACGAGCTGGAACATGATCGTACTTTGCCCCTTTTTAAGTCAAAATGTGTAAAATTGTGAGTCATTAATTGTTAATAAACATTAGGCATGCAACTTACCATCATATTCAGGAAAATAATCAACCAAATGTGAATACATAATTTTTTCCTCCAGCAAATCCTTTTTGTTTAAGAAAAGAATAACAGATGAATGCTGGAACCATGGATAGGTGATGATCGTTTTGAATAAAGCTTTTGATTCTTCCATACGATTCTAAAATTGAGATAAGAGCGTTAGTTTGTGATTAAATCATGTAATGTAGCTCAAAGTGCAAAAAAATGAATCCAGAATTTTTCCCTGAATATATCTTGCAAGCTTAATACTCACTTCATTCTCGGACTCGAACAAAATTTGATCGTATTCAGATAATGCGACTAAGAAAATAATTGATGTCACATTTTCAAAACAATGAATCCATTTCCTTCGTTCAGATCTCTGTCCTCCTACATCAACCATTCTGTAGTTGTGATGAATAAATCAGAATTTTAGTAAATTTGATCATGAAGATGTGATAATATGTCAATAATGGGTTAGTGTGTATTAATTTAGAGCATCTACATTCATAAGATCATGCAATTAACTTGTTAATTATAGTGCAAAAATCAAAAAAAGAATAAACATCCTACTTAGTTTAATGCATTAAAAAAACTTAAAAGCTATAAAGTTAAAAATGTAATAAAATTGCTTCATTGAAGTTAGAATGAATACCTGGGCATTTGGAAGGAATGTCTGATTTTATTTTAAATAGTCTCATAGCTAAAACTCTCAATAGTCTTTAAAATTGTTTTTTGAGCAATAATCATTATGGGTAGCTAGCATTTCATAGCTGTAACTTGCAAATTGGGGTTATTCATCAATGACGTCAATTAAATAATTAAATCTTGACATTTGTGTTTGCAGAATCTTCTCAGATTCATAAACATTTTCAATATATTGAACGTTAGAGAGGTCTTTGGATGTTACGTGATTCTAAGGTCTAATGTTTTAACAATTTTATTCAAATATAGCAACAGCAGCTAGGAACAAGGTCTAAAATGATCATTTTTAACTTAACGCGATATCCAAACGACCCCCAACAAAGTGAACAAACCCCAAAAAGGATCAACAATTCTTTCATATTTTGGCATGTCTTTATGTGGTCACTAATATCATATACCTAAATATGATGCTATCCAAATCAAATGGATATTCAATAATTCCAGTAGTCGGTGCTCGAGCGCGAAGAATATCCTGCTCCGTTGGTAAGTAATCAGCACTTTCAATTCGTTCCAAATCGCTGAGATAACTTTATAAAACAAATTTTAAAGCACATTTAATCATAAAAGCAAAATATAAGTTTTGAGAATGATAAATAAATGGTAAAATTTTCAAAAGGAATTTCGCAGATTTTAGATCCAAATGCTCTGGATTCGAAGAAATTTGTCGAGAAACTCATAACATCAAGTCGTCATGCAATTAATTCGTGTTAGATTAAATCCAAAAAGAAAAATCATTGAAATTAAATTTGATTAGTCAACAGATTATGTCAATTAGTAACAACAATGTATGCAAAATAAAATGATAAACCAGCAAAAAAAAAACGAAAAGTGTAAGAAGCTTTGATAGTAAATAGTTTGATGCTCCATCATTAATAAAATTATTAGTTGTATTCTTTTTTTGTCTTAAAATATCCTCTAACCTAAACCGAATCTCTTCCAAATCAAATGGATATTCGATGATACCCGTTGTCGGCACACGTACACGCAAAATATCTTGCTCTGTTGGCAGATAATCTGTGGCCGCGACTCGATCAATCTCCATTAAATAGCTAAACAAGGATTATTATAAAAAATTGTTGAAGGGAAGGAAGGAGCACTTATTAGCATATAATATAATCAAATGGATGATAATAACAAAACAAAAATATAGAATCCAGGTGTAAATTTCTCGTTTATAAACACCTTTGATTATCGTCGATATATTTATATTTATAGAAAATGATAAGTTCTCATTTCGTTATTTTTTTTTTGTCTCACTGCTAAATAATGATAATAATCGACTTCTTGCTAAATTAGCAACTAATGACAACTTACTATTTTGCTGAATCTGTTAATTGATACTCTCTTCGTCTATCATAACATTCTTGAATGCCAGCATCAGCCCAAAGTTCTTTGATTGCATTCACATACGGTGGTTCAAAGGTTGTTACTGTTTCAAAGTCAACGCTACGTATTAGCTCGGCATTTTCCTAAAATGTAAATAAAACAATTATTGCAATTGGTTGTTCATTATTGTTGCCAAAATATACGACTTTATGTTGATGATCGACGTATTAGAACTCACATTAAGGTAGTCAGATTTAGAAAAACCCTCAAAGCAATATTTACAAAAATAGACATAACATGCATAACTATGAATGCCCCATAATCATGTGTCTGACAAGTGGTTAAACTTAATTAAATTAAGTTGCGGTGCTATTAATATTTTATAAGTATTGAGGTAATTAACTTAATGACATTAAATATGATGAAACAACTATTGACAATAAAACGGGAAAATCACGTCCTGTTTCGATTGCTTCATATGAATCTTACAAGTAATACATTTGTACTAGTCGTGTTTATTCCCTACTTAATCGATCAATCGATTTAAATGTATTCGATCTTTAGAATATCATCTTGATAAACAAATGGACTAAGTTGAGCTCATAATATCATCTGAACCTCCAAATCATCAACGTAGAAATCTATGTGCTGCAAGATCCTAATACTCACCGAATTTCTTGAATCACTATACTGAATTTTTAGTAAATCCATTGCACGAATCATCGATTGCATTGCCATAAAAATATTTTGGTACACCAATTTGATAAAGCCACGTTTATCTTCATCTGAATAACCACTTCCGTGGATGATACGCATCTGTTTGATGAAAGTTGACTTGCCGGACTCGCCAGTACCTAAAATAAGAACAAGATATTAAAAATGAATTAGTCATCAGTTTAAATACAAAAATAGACATTTGTTGACTTCTTTATTGTGCTATCATGTACGGAGAAAATAGCATTAACGTTAAATAATCAAATTAATCAAGACACGTGCTGATGATAACATCAAGAAGATTCCACATACATTAGATTTATTAGGTAAAGCATGTAATCGACTATCGAAAATTATTAATTTTTAATATTATTGAAATGACCAAAACAGAAGAAAACATTACATAAAGCATCCCATGAGAATCAGATTGAGAAATCAAATATTTCGGCACTTTTAATATTGATTGGAACAAAATAAAGCTTCACAGAGAGAGCAAAAAAAATATAAATTTAATATAAATGAGCCACGTGCTAGCCGGCAAAACCACTTAAGTCGGTTTCATATGTGCTTATGCGGTCTGCTTGAAGGTGGGATATAAAATCGCGTGATGACTTGCTGTTTGCTCTGCTTTTGTTGTCATTTGCTTTATATTTTATAGTCATAAATCTATTGATTTGCTTAATTCACGCAAAATTGATTTAGAGTTAGGTTTTAGAAATTAGTTTTGCTTCCCATTAAGGCCTACGTTTATAATTTGTTTCTATCGTAATTGCAGTTTATAATAAATTTGTCGTATCTTTGCAGGGGTTTAGTATCAAGTTGTTGCTTTTATGGATTGACAAGGGAAATATAAAGCAGATGGGAAGATTGTGAGCATCATCTGGAGTTTATAGTCATGTTTTTAAACTTGATTGATGCTGGAGCCTTGTAACATGGTTGAAGTAGCACTGATTTAGAGTTTGACAATTTAAAAAGGATTCAATAAGAACTGACAGGCTTTAAAAACTATGATCCTAAGTTTATATTGATTACTAAGCTGTAAGCTCAGCTTATATAAGTATAATCTTTCCAGATGAACTGGAGTATATCAGTGGTTGGTGTCTATAACTTAGTAACAACCTTTTAAGATGGAATGGCAAACATAAAATTGCTTTTCATCAGAAGGTGGAACTACTGCTTCAAGAAGTATGAATCATCATCCCTAGTAATAACTAGACGACGCATAGAAGATCTCACTTATCTCAAAATTTTATGACGTTCCTGCAATCGCGTACGTGAGGTTTTTATCATCATTTGTGACGAATGAGGTCTTAATATGACGGTTATCAGCATTGCGATAAAATAGTATAATCAAAAGATTACAAAATACTGGATTCAAACAGAAGTTCAGATACATTGCATAAGATAAGTCCCTGATTTAATTTGCAACATCCAGCTAGTGACAACTGTTCACAGCAATATCAGATCGAATATCAATAAATCATACCGATACTCCTATGCAATTTCAACACAATTTTACATATTAATTCAATTACAGCTTATTTTACTGAATCTATTAAAATTATTTCCTACAATTATAACAAGCCCATAAATCAGATAGACAACAAATCCGATCGAAAATAAAAAAGATTTTTTTTAGTAAGAGAAAAAAGGAGTCATTCACATCCTCATTCATCCTTGTTGATGTTCAACTTTCATTCATAATTTTTCTCATTCCCTGTTTTTATATTTTAACAACTATTCGTTCATCGACATCATTCCACTTGCTCTGTGTGTTATTTTATTATTTTTTTTTCTTCTCTTCTCTCTTTCAATTGTGGTGGTGAGAAAGCTTTTATTTCCATTCACGCACACTCGAGCATCATTCGATTTCGAAAAGGAGATATTCATTCATGTTATCATCACTAGGTGATCCCTTTTCCTTTCTATCCTGGCACAGCACATTGAATTTATTTTCAATGAACTTATTTTTTTGTGTCGCTTCTCTGTGTGACTAATTTATTATTGAATTTATGATCATTGGAATTTTTTGGTATGGGAATGGGATGCAATTTTTGGGGTGCATCATGTCTATGAATTGGTGAATTGCACTGAATCATGCATTCGAGGTCTATATAAGCTTTTGGTTCATAAATAATTTAAAATTGAGCTTTTTGGATTTTATTCGACTCTCCTTGTCATGAATAATGAAAGCTTTGAGATTTAAACATAATAAGAATTTCTAAAATATAAAGTTTATTTAAATCCAACAGCAAATCTAAATTGCACATCACAAATAAATCAGAATTGAACATTTTTAAATGCTCCAACCAGAAAATCGCATGATTCAGTCAGTTGTTTACATCAATATTAACTAATATTTTCATTTCCACAGAATCATGTATGAAATATCCATCCATTTTTTGTTGTACGAAAGGCGCATGTCTGCAAAAAAGCTGGTTGTTTTTCTACCCATCTTCACACAGTAAAAAAAAAGGCAGTAAATGGGGTTTTTACGGAAAAAGAGAAGAAAAACAGTTTTCCATAACTCTAACTACTCGACATCCAGTTCATGGGTTTTTTTTTCTTTCCTTCTCTGTTGTTCTAAATAGAACGATTAAGGAATCGGATAGATTTTTTTTTTCTTTCTTCTTTTTAATGATCGAGGAAAGAATTTGTGTCGCGGAACAATTAAAGTTCTTGGGAAGCAAAAACTATTGAAAATTATCTGAAGCATATCCACACACCTTGAAAATCGTTCCTTATCGAATTATAATCTCGAGATAATCGCAGTAATAGCTCACAAAATAGGCTATAAAGTTCTCTTCATTAGAGCACAACAATGTAAAATTCATAATTTAAGCAAGTAATTTTTTCATTACATGATTTCTCGGAAAAAATAACGTTCACAAAAGAATTAATCAAGATTTTTATTTATTTTTTCGTCCGTTTAATTCCACAATTGGACTTTTTTTAAGCTAGTTTATTTGTGAAAGGATTGACTGCATTTTGGACATTTGAATTTCTAAACTCAATTTTTAATGTTTTTCAAAATGCTAGTCTGGCTCCTTCTGCAACAACTAGTGACGATTTACAAAGCAACAAGATTTCAAAAAAGCTTTTTTTGACATTTTATGCCCGGTAAATTTTTAAAAATAATTTTCATGAAGCCAAATTACGATTTTAAAGGAACAATTCTATCTGCCATTAGAAAATGCGCTCTGACTGATCACTAGCTGACCACATCTATACTAGATTTATTTTTCTAACATGTGAGCTGATGAAAATATGAACACACAAAAGAGTAACTCTGCTTTCACAAGACCTTGATTGCATATAAATAAACGCAATTGTAATCTTATAAACACACATAGAGTGAGCAAAGTAAGTATGAAATGCGAGAAACGAAACTTCTAAGGTTTCTGTACAGAAACAAAAACATATGATTACCTGCCCTACATTTTGTCACATTGTGCCTAAACAAGATTGCTTTTACTAGACGACGAACTATATTTAATTTAATATCACCAGCCAATCGTCTCAAAAAAAAAAAGTGAACATAATAATATTGGCTTTTAATTTGTGCTGGCATATACAAGTCTGTCTCACGTGTTACAAATTTAATTTAGTAGCTAGGAGTCAATGCGAAAGGAATTATGGCCGATTAAGCACATGTAGTTTTGAATCGATATTTTAAATGTTCATATAATTGGATTGCTATTTGCAAGGTACACGAAGAGATATGAGAGGTAGACTTACCGAGCAATAAAAGTTTCAATTCACGCCTAGCATCCCTCTTATCGCGCCGTAGCTGTCGTTCAATTTCCTGATTGATGCGTTTCTGCTCTTTTGCTTCTTCTGATAAACAACACTCCATGCTTGATTCTCTTTTAATTAATTCTCGCTTATTCTGTTTCACTTAACTTATGTAAAAAACCGATTTTTTTTTTGTTCGGTCCACTTTTTTTTTTGTATATTTATATTTATTATGTATATAATTTCTTCTTATCTTGTTTTATATATACTTTGTTTCTTGTTTTAGAAGAAAATCACTTGTGTATATGACTTTTAGCATGGAAAAATGCACAATGTGATTCTTCTTCTTTTCAGCAATCGTAACTTATTTGTAACTTGTATATTATTTTATATTTTTTTGTTGTATCAAAAAGCAATTTGAACACTTATCACTATCAGTGTGTGAACGTTTTAATATTTTTTTTTTGTTTTCTCTCTCTTCGATTAACTTTAGATAAATCACCATGCAAAATTGTGTTGTGGACTCGCTCGCTATGTCATCCTCGCTTTTTTTACATTTGTGAAATAATTGAAGATGAATTTGCACTGAAGACGACTATTACGGTTTAGTTAAGTTATGACAAAATGAAAAACCTTTTTTAAATTTCGTTGTTTATTATCTTTTTTTTTTGTTTTTTGAATGCTGGAAAATATACTCGCGGCGGTGCAAATATTGCAAAAATCACTTTTTTAAATATGAATGAATATAAAAAACTGGATGAAATCAATAAATTTATGAGAAGATTGAAGAAAATTCAACTAAAAAACGCCACCAAAAACACAAATTTTTCCGTTTCTGTTAATCTGAAATTAGACAAATGAGAATTGAAATTAAGTAATTTTAAAAAACTATAGTTTTTTGCCGAGCAATTTTTTTTTTCTTTCTCAACCTTTTTTGTTGACCGCTGACTAGGCAATGACTGCTAATGAAAAACTAACAGTCACCATCTAATAGTTTTTCCATCGAATGAAGTTTTTCCCCAAAAAAGAAAAGAAAGAAAAAAAGCCTTAGTAAAGAAATAAACGCGGTTTTGTAAGCAAGCAAGTAAGCTAGCTCCCACTCCACAAAATACACAATACAAATGTGCTATATACCGACCGACTAATATCGAAAAACACCAAAAAGGAAAAACTAACGACGGTGGATGGATGGCTGAGGGGAGTGAGGAAAAACAGAAAAAAAATGAAATCTGACCGTCGTGCATACAAGTAAATATGAAAGTTTCTTTTCGCGTTCTCATGTAGGTAATAATCATATAGGTACATTAAATTATTTGCAGAAACTTATAAAATGGTTTGTGCGGCTGTGTGTATATGAAAGAACAAGCCGGCTAGAGACACAAAAAATACAATTCACTCTCTTATCATTGTTATCATCACTTTAAATTTCTTTTGCTTCCCATTCACACATAATCACCAATTTTGTGAACTGTACCAAAAAAATGATATTTTTTTATAGCACTGACTCTCCACATATAAAATTCAATTTTATTTCAGATTCTTACTTATGCACATATATTGCATATTAGTTAATTATTCTTTTCCGTATTAACACAAAGATTCCTCGCCACATACTAATTATGAATTACGAATTTTTGTAGAGTGAATTAAGTTTTTTGTTTATTCACACACAATTTTTTGAGCTTACTAGTTTTCCATAGAATCATAGGATATACGATATTATTTTTTGCATTACTTGGTCGGTGTTTTTATGTCTGTATGCGTGGAGTTTTTGTGCATTGGTGTGTGGAGTGGATGTACCACATCTATTAAATGAATATGACTTTTTTTTTTTATAAATTGAAAAAGAATAATCCAAAATGTATTTAAACTTTAATTTAGTGATAATTTATGCAATTTTATGCGATTCTCAAAACATTTTATGAACTTTTTCATCCAATTTGGAACCAATTGCAACTGAATGAAAAATTGATAAATCTCTATCAGGAACCTCATCAAAATCACTTTTTCACTTCTTTTTTTGCAATTTTAATTATACTACACAGCATAGGTCGGCTTAATAATTCAATTAATATTCTTTTATACTGATTATTGGCAAACAACACAAAGTTTTAATGCAAAAATATCCCATTTTCTTATTTCGCATTCACTTTTCCACTTCGACCGATAGCTGTGGAAAATGGAAAATGAAGGAAAAAATGTTTTTTCATCGGTCAATGGATTATTGATAGAATTTTTCCAATTTATGACATCAGCATCGGATTTGAGTGCTTTAAAAGCATATCAGTAACTTGTTTTGCATGTATATTACACTTTTCACATAATCCAAAATAAGATATAATGTTAGCTTTTTGCCATTATTTGTGATGGAAAATTTTTTTTCTTTGGGCGAGGCTTTCGAAAAAAAAAAATTGCAAGGAAAAAGTTTACATAAATTTATGTTATGAAATCACCTTAATTATCTGCAAAAACACACTTCTTTGTGATATTTCACGTTGGCCCGAAGCCATAAGTTCCACAATACTCACTCAATTCTTACCCAAAATTACAATTTTCTTAATACACACACTTTTTATTTTCTCAAAGAAATTCTATAAAATTTAACCATCCATCACTGACTGCAAGTTTCAACTCTCCACTTGTAGCACGCATCTAATCTCATTTCTATATTCCTGTTATGTCTTTATTAACACTTGATTAATTTGTAAATTAGATAAAAATCAATTGTTACTTTAAGGATCATGAAATTTACTTAAGATTGACTATTTCTCGGGTTGTGTAGTTTTCTTTGGAGACTATTGGAATCATTATCAACCGTTAGAGCTGATTATGGGGATAGAAGGTTGTTTGATGGATGTTTTATCATTAATACTATATGTTTTTGCAATTATATTCATTTGAACTTAATAAAATGTTCTTTAACTAAGCCATTAATGTGATATTTCAAAAAACGTATGAGATTGTGCAAAAAACGTTCCGTAAAACGTAAAGATTCATATTGAATGTTGCCGTTATCCTATCTTACGAATAGAAGTGCAGATTGAGAATAAAATTCTATCAGCTAATTGTAATTATGATATTAATCTATCGAAGTAGCTAAGACTTATTTTAATCTTCAAATTAGAGCTAGAATTGTATTTGAAGATAAGAATGTATAACATGAAGTTGCACCCAATCCTGAACCGTCGTACCCCTTTCGTGTTATCCAATTTTTTTGTAAACAAACCTTGCATTTTGTCCTCAATTTATTTGAAAATAATAATTTAAACAGTTTTAACCTAAGATTAAGTGAATTGAAGGAGTTCAATTTGTAAATTACAAAGTAATCTTTATGTTTTGTGTAAAATTCAAAAAATTCCCTGTTATAAAAGTGATTATTTTGCGAAAAATAAAAGTAAAATTTTAATAACATTTAAATTATTGAAAATTGTGCAAACTTAATATCAATAAATAAATAATTAAATATATTAATGATAAGCAAGCAGAAGGCGCTTAGAGAAACTAGATCCAATCGTGCAACAATAGCTCATTTCAACTCGCATACATTCATCCAAAAAAGTTAAAAAAATTTTAGTCTTACTCAGTTCTTCAGAGAAGAAAGTGTAAAGAAACAGATATGGCTTCTTCAAATAATAAAACTGTATTTTTGAGGAAATATACAGCGAGAACAAAAGAAAAGGTAGGAATAAAATGAGTAGAAGTGATAAAAAAAATATCAATAATAATGTAAAAGGAGAAAAAGAGAAATTTCGAGTGTAAACATAAACAAATCGATCATGATGGGTGAAACTTCTTTTTTTGACACATAAAAAAGAAAATATGAAAATTCGAGAGAGTATATAAATAATAAGCACCTAAACCGTATTGAAGAAATTTTGCTAAATGGTATTAAATAAATATATATCGATTAATGAGATAGTCGGCAATAATTATTTTTATACAGAACGATCAAGTGAAAAATGAAATAACTTTTCTAAAAAAATTATTCACAAAAAAAAGTGGTATATGTAAAAAAATAAAAATAGAATTCAGCTAGCAAAAATGATGATGATGTGAGAGAGAAACTAGAAATTCATCTAAGAAAGAAGTATCAGAGAAAGGCAAATGCTTTTTGTGCCTGAAGAAAACCTGATTTCGTATATATGTGAAAGAGGACTCCAAAAATAAAAATAAGTTTAATGAACGAAAGTGTATTTTGCAAAAGAGGAATCTGAAAAAAAAATTCAGTCAGTCGATAACGTCTGTTATCTAATGTGATAAAATTCTCACTGTATGGATATACATTCTTTTCTCAAACTATATCTCTCTCTTTATTTTTTGCAAGCCTCATTGGAATAACATGTATATCTAGTTTTTGAAGAGATTAGAAAACGACGTATCTGGACGTATCGTGTACATAAAAAATGTAATAATTTAAATGATCAAATGTCAATCGTAAAGTGTATTAATTGACCCCCCACGAGAATTAGATAGCATTTTGTAATTTGGAGGTCATTGCTATATTTTTTCATCGCATATCTTGTAAGTTACACGACTAGCTTGATTAATATATTTTATGATGACAGTTTTTCGCCTTGGAAAATGACTAATATCAAGAAAAACATTCTGTTTGGTATAGTCAGAGCAAGCAACAAGCTAAGAATATATTAGAATAATACTTTTTTAAATGAGATAGGCTATGGAAGTTAATGTAATTAAGTTTTCAAAAAAACAGACAAACAAGTCAATTGGGCAGCATAAAATAGATAACAGCATCTTTAAAAAACATTTTACAATTTCAAAATATTTTCATAGTGTTTATTAATAAACTTAGAATTCGATAGAGTTTGTTGTGTATCAATAGTTTACAAATGAATTGGCATTTTAAAGGCTTCTTGACTTTAACTTATTGATTTTATTGTTTGCTCTCAATTTAATTATTTAGTCCATGTTGTATGGTACAAATACTTGGGAGGAATGGGTGTTTCATAAATGATGTAAATAAAGAAATTTAAGTTTTGGACCTCATTTGCCATCCTTTTGTTTTCACAATGTCTAGTGATTAGGTTTTCAACAGCTGTTGCTCAGCATCAGAGCCCCCAACAAAGCAACTAGTGAAAGTCATAAGTGTCACTCACTGGAGCTTAGTGTCAATCTATTAAAATAACAGTTGTGCTAAGGAGGTCAAAAACCCAAAATTTCTAATACACATCATAAGTTTATAACCCCCCAAGTGGATCCGATACATATTTATTATTGATCTACGGATAATTTTCGCATCTAATGATGTTCATCTCTTATTTGTGATCATTAATTTTCGCTTGCATATTTCTGATGTTTCTCATCATAACTTGCGGATATTTTTAAACATCTTTTTTTTGTCGAAAGAGAAAAATTTATTTTTCATAATGAAGATTTCATTTTCGAAGCCAAGTGTGTGAAATTGGATCATACAGAATTGACTTTTTTCTGCTTGCAGAAGATGCGAGCTTTCATGCGTTTTTTGCCTACATTTCAATGCTCAAACGTTTCCCAACATTCTTTACATTATAACAAAATGGGAAACACAAATTTGCAGAAATTCTTTGAATGAAGACATTTGTGTAGTGGACACATATGACTTAGAGTTAAAATATCTACTTAGTTCATTAAAAGAGATTTACATACATATAAACGTATATGTGCGTAGGATCGAATTTTGGCTATGAAAGAAATATATTCCACAAAGCAAGAGCAGTAATAAATATACAAATAAATTCAATCAAGTAATAACATCCCACATGTTGACAATAGCAGCAAACAGCAAAGTTAAACGAGTGGCGAATCTCGGAATCAATTAAAGTGGCCTTTTCAAAGTCACCAAGTTCAGCCTGAGTGATGAATGTTAACAGTTGTTTTTCTTATGCTGTAAACCTGTTTGAGACTTGGTAAAATGCCGGTTAACTTTCTTTAAGACGAAAATATGTGAATCTCCCCAAAAATATTTAAAAAATTGATTTGGAAAGTTTTTAACATTTTGACTATTTTCGAAGCTATAACACACATGTAAATAACCATATTAAGAACAGACAACGAAGATTCTATTTTTGGGCAAAATAATATCTTTTCTGTTTTGCAATGCACGATTAGCACACAAACAAACGATTATTCTTGCTGATCTCAACATTTTAAAACCCGTTCCGTCTTTTACGATATTATTGAACAAATTAGTGAATTTGTTCTTTTCAATAATAATCAGCTAGGGTTCGTTTGTAGATTAGGTTATCACTTAAAGAAAATCTAGTTGGAAGTTGACTTCTGCAGTTCAGAACTTTTGTTTAATGAGTTGCGAATATCTTTAAGAATTCATTAAGTTTCCCAATAAGTTAAAGTTGCTATTCAATAACAAATCGCCAGAACATTTGTAAACACTGAATTGTAGTAAATTAAAGAAAAGACAAAAGGCACAAAATTTCCGAATGACTACCTATGTTAAAAATTCCAACAAAATCATGAAAAGTATCCGAGATAAGACTCTGTATCGCTTACTTTAGCTTTATCATGAATTATCACTCTATAAAAAAAATAATATTTTTCACACTATTTGTTATAAGGTAAATTGCGACATAATGGCAATTCCAGCTTTCATTTGATGCTTTTTACTCTTCACATTTTTATTGTTCCACGACTTAATTCAATTGTCATTCAACAATCATTTCGTTTTCATTCCATTTGATGGAGCAATTGATGTTATTATTATCGAATATATTACATAATTTAATATTTTCTCAAACTTCCATTTAGTGTCAGACTAACTTGACTGTATTGCATATGATGAAGTTTCTCGTGATTGCCATTTTATAGAATTCTGTTTCTCTTGACCTTACTTGTAAAGAATAATGTCGAAAAAAAAAGTGTAATCAAATTAATCATCATGCATCAGTAGTAACTGCCGTATGATATCATATAAACAATAAGTGTACTTTTGGTTGTGTGCAGGTTGTAATACAATTGTAGCTCACGTGTTGAACGATATCAGCACATTTGTGTGCTGCGTTGGAAAAATATCATAAAATATGGACTCGTTCGCAAATGACGTGTAAAAGTTGAAGAGGAGGTCTTTTGAATGGCACAAGACGGTTAATCGAATAGAAATCTGGCAACAAGTCTGTGTGACTCTGGCATCAAATAAAATCCAGCTCTATGCCAGAGTCACCCAGACTTATTGCCGGTTTTCTATTCGATTAACCGACTTGTGCTATTCGGGCCTGTATGTCAAACTTTAAAAAAATACCCAAAATTGCCATGACAGGTGTGGGTCAAAAATCACATAATGTGAAAGACGTCATTTCCTATTGACTCCACCCGCAATTATTTATTTGAATTATCAGAGAGTATCTGTAAAAAAAAAAATGTTTAATTTGAATGTCGAAAAGGAGTGAGAATTGTTGAAAAAACAATTAGAGATCACACAAAAAATGCCTGACCGTAGTCTCAAACCGAAATCATGTTCCATTAATGAAATGAAACATCATGAGTAATTATTTTTAGATCTTTTTCATCTGAGAGCTATGACGGTTTATTTTTATAAATTCTCGCAGATTTTCTTCCTTTTATTTCGTAATGAACTATGTGTATTCATTTTTTTTTTACGAATGAATATTGTGTCACTTGTGAGTATTTTTTCTTTTGCAAAAAAATTGCGGGTGTAGCTGGGAGAATAAAAAATACATTCGAACAGATGAATCACGTGGATATAAAAACATTTTACGTGATTTTAAAGTTTTTTTTTTTCTCATAGAATTGTCCATGATGATGCAAATTTAATTATTGTGCGGTTCTATTGACTGCAATTTCCATTTAGGGTTGTTCAGAAGTTATGTTTATTGAAGATTTGTGTTAACTAAGCACTAGACCACCCACAGACTCTTAAATGAATTGAAAATTATTTTTCTTTAATAACCATTCCTTGTCGCTTTGTCTTTTGATTGACTTTATCTGGGAACGCACTTTAAATTGTATCGGAGAAAAAATATTGGCAGTCTTGTGCTTATGACTCGATGAAAACTGTTCACATCTGTATATTTTTCCTATAAGATTCTAATTGGAAATTGCTACATATCGTCTTTATTTATTCATATTATTTTCTTTTATTAACGTTATGTGCTCGTAAAAGCTTTCTGCTACACAATTTATAAAACTATTTGAAAATCGTTTCCCTAAAGTGGATAATCTTTAATTTATGATTTTCTATTTCCACTATTTTGAGGGATTTAAAGCCATTTGATTAGTGGTTATCTCAAAAAAATATGCTTACTAGTGATGAACTTGAGCTAGGCTAGATGATAATGAATTATCTACTCCAATTATGATTAATTATCATTTTTAGATAATTTTCGGATTGTAACTTTTTATGATGATGAACTTAAGTGGCTAGTCGATTGTTGATATGATCCCTTTGAATTATATTGAAAATTTCTAGTGGTTTGTTGGATTCTAATCTGTGTTTAGTGGTTTATTTGATTTTATGGCATTAATCATGAGATTACAAGTCGTAAATTATGTTCGAGAATACATAGAATAACACTTACTTACTTACTCCGCTGTTTCTACTGATCAATTGTGATCTTTAGATGAGATCTAAAGCTGACAATATCGCTGGTTTGCCAATTACGAACACTGAGCGACCTCCAATCAACCTAAGTCAAATCCTGCAACCCA